ATCACTGTTAATACTATGATAGCAAGTTAATACAATCACTGTTAATACTATGATAGCAAGAGTTTTCAAGTAATAATTTATTGCAATATTTTATATTTTATATAAGAAAAGAACAATTAAATATTTTAAGAAAGTTATGATTTGTGTAATTTTTTCAAGAAATCTTACAAAAAGTTATCTGTAATTTTTTTTATTTATTTTTCTAGTTTTTATAGAAAAAATGAGCAACAACGACAAGACATCTTGAAAATGTCCACAAATGCACTCGCGTATTAGAAAGTTCTACGTCTCATCAAAACAAATGAAATAAAGTTGAAATCTAACTAATCAAACTATTTTAAAATTTGTAAAACGACCAACCCTGGTTGAATTGATTTCTAAATTGGCTGCTAAGGACAGTATATCGTTCAATAAAATTATTAAAATTAAATTTATACTGCAAAGTATGACCGCCAGGGGATTCAGGTTACCTCAAAATCCTTCTGAGGTGAGACAATTAATGGTGAAATTTTACCATAGCAGTTATAAAATATGAATCTAACTTTTAATTGACATGTATCACTTCAATTCTTTTAATCTATGGGTTTCTAAAACATAAGTTGAACGTCTATATGTTTTTTAAACGTTTATTGAAATGTAGATCTCAAAACAATCATCTACAACTTTCATTACTATCTGATCATATATTTTACAATATTTGACATGTAATATTAGCACGGTTAGCACGTATCCTTATAATGCCTACCTAGCTGTCCCAAGAACGCCACTTATACGGAAAGTCAGCGTACAAATCAAGGTACCCTGTGATGCAAATTTTAAAATCATTTAATTTTGTCCGCGGAAAATAATTTAATTTGAATGTTCAAATTAAGTCAAATTTTAAATTCATAGTGCGCCAATAAAAACACTTGTAGAATTCGAATCACTCAATATAGTTTGATAAAAATTAATGCAAATGTAGCTAATAGTCACACCAAACTCTGGATAAAATTTCAGCCTGATTGGATGACTGATATAGGATTTATTGCAGTTTTAGTTGAAGTTTTGTCAGTTTTTTGCTACTTATACCTCAAAGCATTACTTTGAAATTCGGTCACTATTTTTAAAATAACGGTTACATGAGTGTTCTACTATGTAATACCAACAATTTTTGTTATAATTGTTTTATCGGCACATTTACAGTTTTCATTTTGTAGACCAAAATAGTGATTTGCTACTTAAAACGTGATTTGAATTGGCTTATGCCAATGACGTTGACACGGCCTTCAAAGTGGCGTGGGTCAACCCCTCAATTTCTAAAATAAAATCCATAATTACTAAAATAATTGCCTATATTTCTAAAACAAAAGGTCCTCGCAAAGAAAAAGTGGGCAGGCCATGGCTCCCTTGACGGCCATGTATGCATAGCGTGAATATACCAACATTTCATAAGGTTTAAATTACTGCCAGAATGCAAAAAAATTCTAAAAAAATGGTTAAGAAGGATATGCTCTGTCTGAAAAAATATTTAAAACAGCTTACTACTTTTCAAGCAGATCAAATATGCCAACTGTACAAGACCAAGATCAATAACAGTGATACTCGGGTACCAAAATGATTCTGCGAATCGTGTAGAATTACTTTGCGCAGGAAACAAGAAGGGAAAGAAGTTGCACTCCCTCCTTTGTTTGATTTTAAGTCAATACAAGTGAGACCTGAAACAAGAGGCACAATGTGTTGTTGCCTAATATGCCGAATTGGTCGTTAAAAGCTGCAAGAAAAACATCCTCTTATTGAGCAAACCACTGTTGAAAAATAGTGGTTTGCTCAATAAAAACCAAAGGTGTGTTGCATCAAATGCTTCAGCCCTTTAGGAAAAGGTTTGCCCCAAGAATACTCTAAAATAATAATAAAAGAAAACATTCAATCTTTAGCAGAAAAAGATGTCAAATCATCCGAAAAAATCGCATCTCGAGTTATTTCCAATAACAAATTATCTCCGAAAGGAACTATTCTACTGGCTAAAGCATACGGCGTTTCTCCACTTACAGTTACCCCTGGTAAATATTTATACTTAAATAATTTTAACATATATATAGAAATAAGTAGCAAGTTAATACAATAATGCAAATGGATTTAAACTAATTTTGGCTTGTGATATGAAAGTTGCAAATATAATTTGTGGTCTTCAAACTCATTCAAGCATGCACCCTTGCACCTGGTGTGATGTCAAATCCAATGTCATGTCATATCTGTCTTGCCATATCTGTCTTGCCATATCTGGAAATTTGCAAACATTGGGCTCAATTAATTCAAGCCTTGAGTCTTTTCAACAATCTGGCAGGGTTGTTGCTAATGCAAAGCTGTTTGGCAATGTCATTTAAAAGCTAATCATCTGCGGGTTTGTTAATGTTCTGATTTTGGAAATCATTCTACCGATGGATTTACATCTCCTCTTAGGAGTTGTCAACCATCTTTTCAAGATCCTTAAAATTGCTTCGATATAAGCTGTTAAATGGCCAGTCGCTCTCCACATTTAACTAAACTCGTATCATGGGGGCCAGTTTGAGGGAAATGAAAGCAGGAAGTTTCTTAAAAATGTAAATATGCTGCAGCAACTTGCTGAGACAAACATGGTTCACAATATTATATGCATAATTGAAGCATTCAAAAGTTTCAATTTAGTTGTCAAGGCTTTGGGTACATCCTTCAGCCGGATTTCGCTGAAAAAATTGAAAATTTCAAAAAGTGTGACCTAATGATAACTAGTGCAAGCGTAACACCCAAAATTTACGCCGTCTTCTACCACATCAAGGATTTCATCAGTCACAAAGAATCCCCCTTGGGGCCCTATTGTAAACAAACTGTCGAAACTTTTCATCAAGATTTTTATCAACATTGGTCGAGGTATAAGCGAAATAATAATCATCCAAAGTTCAAAGAAAGATTGTTGCGCTGCATAATTGATCTAAACAGTAAGCATCTTTAAAGAACATTATTTGAGTTATTAGAAATTAGGCTGCTGAAATATTTTATATATTTTCATATTTTACGGCGTATAATGAATATTTTCACCATCTTTAAAAGTAGTATTTTAGAGTATTTGTATTAAAAGAGTACTTTTAGCTATTTATTAATAATCTTTTGGTGGAGAAAATCAAAAAAACATTTCTTAAAATGTAATTAGATATTTGATGGTAATACAATTTAAAAAATAGGGTTTAAATAGTTTTCACTTCATTTTAAAAGTAAATGTATTTAAGGAGGTAAATACAAAATATTTTAGGAGATCTAATTTTTTTTTTGTTTTACTAACTGGTAGTCCTTTGAGCAGGTTTTGCACTTTTTTTTAGCTTTTTTTTGGCAGCAGTTTATACCTAAGGAAATGTTGGTATATTCACGCTATGCATACATGGCCGTCAAGGGAGCTATGGCCTGCCCTTTTTTTTTTGTGAGGACCTTTTGTTTTAGAAATATAGGCAATTATTTTAGAAATTATGGATTTTATTTTAGAAATTGAGGGGTTGACCCCCTCCACTTTGAAGGCCGTGTCAACGCCATTGGCATAAGTCAATTCAAATCAGGCTTTAAGTAGCAAATCACTATTTTGGTCTATAAAATGAAAACTGTACATATACTGATAAAATAAGTATAAATTTTTTTTTTGGTATTACATAGTAGAACACTCATGTTACAGTTAGTTTAAAAATAGTGACCGAATTTCAAAGTAACGCTTTGAGGTATAAGTAGCAAAAAACTGAATAAACTTCAATAAATAAAACTGAAATAAAAATTAAAATGAATTTAAAACTAAAACTGCAATAAATGCTATACCAGTAATCTAATCAGGTTGAAATTTTATCAAATTATATTGAGTGGTTCAAATTCTACAAGTGTTTTATTTGTTTTATTGGCGCACTATGAAGTCAAAATTTGACTTAATTTGAACATTCAAATTAAATTATTTTCCGCGGACAAAATTAAATGATTTCAAAATTTGCATTACAGGGTACCTTGAAGTGTACGCTAACTTTCCGTATAAGTTGCGTTCTTGGGACAGCTAGGTAGGCATTATAAGGATCCGTGCTAACCGTGTTAGTGCATGTAGTCAAATAGTGAAACCTTTAAAAAAGTGACAAAATTATCAAATCAGTTATTATTAAATGTTGCTTTTTTCTTAACGACATTAATACCAATTTTTTAATTATCATAACAAATTTTATCATTATGCAGGGCCGACGACATGGGTTTCAAAATGGAGGGGGGGGAGCAAAACCATCAGTTTATGAAAAAATCCTCTATATCTAGATTTTTCTTTAAAAAAAAAAGGTACTATAAAAAAAAAATTTATATTAGCACCAAGTTTCTCATTAAAAAATTAAAATTCTTTATTAATTAACATCTTGCAATTTTATAACACGGCCGACGACACGGGGAGGGGGAAGGGAGTGGTTAAAGTTACCTCCGTGTTGTCGGCCGTGTAACAAAATTGCAAGATATTAATTAATAAAGAATTTAAATTTTTTTATGAGAAACTTGGTACTAATATAATTTGTTTTTAAAAAAAACACAAAATATTTCTCAAACGTTACTGTATATTAATTCATACAATTAAATTAGTATTAAATATCATAATAATCCAATACCATTCACTAAAACAATTAAGTATTAACAATTAAAACAGTAACAGTAAAAATTATACGGTGTAAGGCTCTAATTAAAAAAAGAATATTCTTACCGTTGCCGCAAAAAATGTTCCAAATTCATACAATTTAAACCACTAACAAAAGGTGTATATTTGAATCAAATTAATTTGTTAGCAATAAAAAAATAAAAATCATGAACAAATATTTCAAGTTAAAGAGTTATCTATAAATTATTATAAAATAATATTTACAACAAATATTTTATTTATTTATAGAAGACTAAAAATCAACTAAGCACAGATATTCTCAACAATCTAAAAAGTTTTATTCTATTTTTTAACATTACACATCTCTTTGCTTCTATATTTGTTAAATCTACTTTCTGTGCTTGCTTATTTCTTTAGGACATTTTTGTCTTTAATCAGAATAATAAAACTATAATAATAAAATATAATTTTATATCGTCATACTGTCGATATAAAATTATTGAAATATTAATATAAAAATATTGAAATTATAAAAGATATATAATGAAATACAATCACTCGAAGCTAATACTAAAATTCAATAAAGTTTTCCTCTTAAAAAATATAGAAGCAGTTGCATATTGACATTAATTTTTTATGTGTGTAGTTAGAAGTTATTAGTAACTAATTTACTACTTAAATTTATTACTAATTAGTAAATCATTACTTAATAGGTAAATAATACAAGGTATAAACTAAAGTCTACGCCTTAACTCTTTGTTGTTCTTATAACTTATATTTATATATTGACTATTGTAATTTGAACTTTGAATCCGTTGAACTTAACATTTGAGCATTGACCTTCAAAGTTTGAAATTAGACTTTGAACTTTATAATAATATACAAAACTCTTTTCTAATTAAAAATAGTGTTTACTAATTGCTACTTAGGGAAAAAATGCATGGATTATGGAACTTGATTTACTTCATCGCATCAATTTAATCAAACCTAATAAACTATAAAATTATAATCTATACATTAATTTGAACTTTAAAGTATAGTAATATCACTAAGTACAAATAAGTGAATTTAATAATATTAGTCTGCTGCTAGTTAAATAAGAATTATTCAATTATATTAAGCATATTAAATTTAAAAATGCAACTTGCTTTTTATGCTCAGCAAAAAGCTTGTTTCTTTTAGCTTCAAATTATAGGTATGGAAAAGACACCCATAGATTTTGAGCCCAATGTTTTTTTTTTTTTTTACTGGTTAACCTTGAATAGCAAGAATTCATTTTTTGAAATCAAAAATGAATTCTTGTCGTTGTCGCTGTCGTTGTCGCTTTCGTTGACCTGTCGTTGACCTTCTTTATTTTCTAGCGCTGAATAATAGGGATTTATGTTTGCCGAATCATCGGCAAACATAAATCCCTAATTTTTCGAATTTTGGTACATCCCTATTACTTACATATAAAATACGATAATAAGATATAATAATGTGATATAGACATGTCCATATACAACCGTATACATTAAGATACATATCAAGCGCTGATTGCTCTAAATTGTTAATGGAATTTTTAAAACTTCTCAGCTAATAAGTTTATAGTCTTAAAAAGAAACTTTAAAATATGGTATATAAATTTAAACATAATAAAAAACCTAAATAGTATTAGTTGTAATATGATTGTTTGCTATATAGTTATTTGGAATGTCACTATTTGCAGTATAATTATTTTCCATTATTAACTCACCTTGAAGCTTGTTAGTGGGAAAGTTTTTAAAAAATGCTTTTTGTAAGGAATATTTTTTTGTTTTAAACCTTTCATAGGTAAATGAAACCAAAAACCAAGCTAGGTAAACTAAAGCAGATCTAAACATTAAGCCTCTTCCACCGTATTTGTCGTATATAATTCCTCCGATAACATTTCCAAATAAACAACCAATGCAAACATAAACAGAACTTACAATACCAAACATAGTTGTCGATATTTCTTTTGAAGATATCATTTTTGTATGCTCGGCTGCAGCTGTCATATATATCGCATAATTAATACCGTATAAAACCTGAACCGGAAGCATAAGCCATAGAACATTAATATATGTCATTGCTAGAAACCGTAAAAAGCAAGAAAATATTGCTATTTGAATGGCGACTTTTGTACCCCCCATTTTTTCAATTATGAAACTGGCAAATGGAAAAATAATTGTCGATGAAGTAGCAGAAAACGAATAACATATACCAACAAAGGTTTTTGATGCTTTCATCTCGTCATTCAAGTACATGGATAAATACGCATACCGCAAACCTTGCGAGGTCCCCATAAAAAAAACAGAAGCAAGAAACATAAAGGCTTCTAATGATTTGCAAGTTTTTAAGGCTTTTCTAAAAAGAGATTGCTTTTTTTGATCAGCAACTTTGTTATTTGTTTGGTCCAATAATACTAACGTTGAAGGCAACAACAACAAAATGCAAGGTAAAAATACAAGAAAAACTCCAGAAGTCTTTGGAAAAATTGGACTTATAACTTGTTCTGCAGCATAACCACTTATTAAGTTTATACCAACAGTTGCTACGCCAGCAACTATTCTTTGATTTCCATAAGTAACACCATCTCTTGTGGTCACAACATCCATCACAGCTGAGTCAATAAAACCTACTAATGGTTGTTCAAAGCAAGCAGACAATAAACACACTACGAGTGTTACATAAAACACTTTTGCATTGGACAAATATATAGTTTCCTGAGCGCGATTTAAAACTGTTCTGTTGCTTGTAATTGGATCACTCAAAAATACAATACTAGGCATTGGAAATATAAGTAAGATAGTTCCTAGCCACAAAATTGTAATAATTAGCTTGCGTCGTCCAGTTAAATCGGTAAGAAATCCCCATAATGGTGATGCAAAAAGTGCTGGAACAGATCGAAGGCCTACAATAATACCGGCCTCAGTTGATGTCATCCCAACTGTTTTTAAAAACACATTGAAGTATGGCAAATAACCTTGGGAGCAATATAAGGCTGCAAGCGATAATTTTGACGGAATCATATGACGATCGATACTGAAGTCCATACATTTTTTATTCTCTCTTGTCTTTTCTTGTTTCATTTTGAAAATTTTTAAGTTATAAATTTTATTTCAGCAATTCGATGCGGTTCCTTTTTTTAAAAAAAAATAAAATATATAAAAGAAAATTTACTCAATTTAAAGAAAAAAAAATAATGTTATTTTGTGAATAAACAGTTAACAAAAACAAAACTGCTGTGAAATTTTTAACTCCATAAATGTTGTTGTTAAAGTTGAATGAAAAAAATGTCCAGGAAATATATATAAAAAATATAAAAGTTTTATACTATACTGTTTTAAATGTATTTTTTAATTCGCAACTATAGTGCTTACAGAAATTTTTTTCTTCAAAAAATTAAGTTTACTACTTTATGTCCAAACAAAAACTTTGTTTGCAGCGTTAAAACAGCAACAACAACAAAAAAATAAAAATCAAATATTGCAAAAAAGTAAATATAAATTTTGAAGGTCATCTATACACAATGTTATGTTTGACACATGGAAACACGTAAGTTAAATAAAATTTAAAAAAAAATGTTTCTACAATAAATTTTTAATAAGATTAAAATACCTTCTGGTTAAAAAAATAAATATTTTTAAAGGTGGTTGTAAAATACAATCTGGTCAAAAAACAACTTTGAAAAGAGGTTAAAATATCGTCTAATAAAAACTATATATGTATTTATAATAATAATAACAACTGCAGCAATTAACAACAATAGCATTTATTATTTTACTATTATTACTATTACTATTGTTATTATCATTTTTAATTACTATTATTATTTTGTGACAGTTTTGTTCTGTTTATTGTCTTTGTGGTGACACTTCTTGAAAATATTTTGTTTGATGAAACTGCATTTTTTCTTAAAAACTTTTTCTTTGATTTAACTACTTTTAACGTAAGTCGTGTAGTAGTGACTTATGAGATTTATTTTATTTCAATATTGACAAAAATAATGCAGACTATAAACAATGGAATTTATCGCAAAGGCTTTACCTAAAAAACTAGTGAGTACTCTAAGACATTCAAAAACATCACGAGTTGCGTGTTGCAGTTCAGATAAGTGCGCCATTTACAAAATTTTACCAATTTTTATTTTTAGACCAAATGAATTGTCTTTCATTGTTCTGTCTTTATTTTATTATTGCTTGCATTTATATGTTATTTTTCGATATATTTTACACAAATGGTAAATTGCGCTGTAAAACAAAACGAGCTTTTTTAAATTTTTATAACTTACACCTCTTTTAAAAAATTAAATTATTTTAGAAAAGGAAAAAAAAAAAAAGGAGACGAAGAAACAGGAGCAGCATAGAGACATAAACACAAAACAACAGTATTAAGAACGACAAAAAAAGTATGAAATGAATGAATGTTGAAAAGAAGTTTCAAGAATTCAAAACCATCAGTGGTAGTAATGTGAAACTACAAATTTTTTTTATCTGAAAATTATCACTAATCAACTTGATAAACTCGGTAAAAACATTACAAATAAGCTTATAATAAAATTTATTTTATTATAAGCTTATTTGTATTTACTATTTTTTATTATAAAATTTAAAATAAAAAAACTCTAGATTTAGAAAATAGAAACAACTTAAAAATCGGGGAGAAAGCAAAACGCTTTTAGATGGCTGTACAAACATAGCCAAAAGTATGTTTAAAAATCGGTTTGGAACTACGGAGGATGTGGTGATCGGAATATTCCATTAAATAGTGAGCAACATAAGCAGGATAAGTTACTCTCATAACATATGTTTCAGGTATGACACAGTCAAGCATTGTGCAAACTTAAATATGTTCACGTTTGTGTCATATATTTTGCAAAAAATGCTTTGATTGGAGCTTAGAAATAAAACTACTCAAAAACGTTCACTGCCCAAATAAAGTTCTTACCCCTAATGTAAGGGCAATGGTTTTTTAGCATATTATACTAAACTTGAATTCATCAATAAGTTTTAGACTTCATTTAATAACTTTTAAGAGTTCGAAAGTAATGATCATGTCAAATTTACTACCCTAACCTGTCGATAAATTTAAATTTAGTATAATTAACTGAATTATACTATATTAACTAATTGTTCTCATGTTTGGGGTGGGCGAGCAAACTTTGTGTAAAATATTTGCTCCTAGGTTCTAACCAACATAGTTATATTAAAACACTTTCATTTGACATAAACATGAGCATACTTAAGTTTGGAGCTTGTACAATCCCTGAAATTAACATATCTGAAATATCAAAATATCCTGGCCATTGCAAATAAGACAACTGAAAGAAAAGCTTCCGCAAACTATAGTGTTCAAGCCGTCAAATTTTTTATGAAAAAAGCAAAAACTACTTCTTACAGCGCAATGGCTTATGAAACTATAGCTTATGAAATAAATAAACAAATATTTTACACAACGTTATTACAATTATTAACATTAATAAACGATTATTAAATTAAATAGCTTTTAACTTATAGTACTTTCATACTAAATGATTTAACGCCTAATTAAAAACAGATATTAAAAAAAAATTATGGTAATATTACTATTAGAAGCGTAAACGTAAATATAGATAAACTAAACAAATTTCTTTTATAAAAGAATGGAATTATTTGTTTAATATGGTTTTAAGGAAACTCGTAGAAAATGTCTTGACACCAAACCATTGAAAGATATTTAAAAAAATTTAAAAATGGACAAGCATAACTTTTCGGTCCGCAACATATTAAACTTGTTTGTATATTTATACAAATAAAAGAAGTAAAAGTTAATATATAAATTTAAAAAAAAAGAAAAAAAAAAGACGTTGTAGAATGTTGTAAAATATAAACTATTCACAGTACTTTAACGTAACATAAAATTCTTATAAAATGAATATATATTTACTTTATGACATAATAATATAATACTATTATAAATATATTATAATATTATTTTTATTTTAATTAGTTATTGCTTTTTTTTTTTTATTGCTTTCTTGTTTTGCATATAAATACAATTATTATTTCAATGTATATACAGATGGCCAGGGTATGAAGAAGACGTAATTTATCACCAAGCCTCAAAAATTGAATCCGTAAAAGATAAAAAATAACGTACAGCATATATAATTGTTACCAATATACATAAAATAAGACTTTATTATTGAAAAGGTAAAACAAAAATTTACAAGGGAATAAATAAAGAGAAAGAGAAAAAAAAAATTAATTTTAAGACTGAAAATATTAAAAAATTTTAAAACACATTTATTTAAATAAATGTGTTTTAAAAATTTTTTAAAACACATTTATTTAAATTAAATATTTAATTGATCCATTTTTAAAAAGAGCAAACAATATTTATTACATTTGATTTAAAAAAATGAAATAATTTATAAAAAAAAGTGAAATAACAAATTCGTAGAAAAATTAATTAATAAATAAATCAAAATAGTTTTGCACAACATACAACTTGCAATAAAATACATACTTTTTTTGAAAAAATAAAATAAAAAGTTACAAAAAAAATAATAATAACTAGCTGTCATGACCCGTAAAATACGGGTCTTTAGGATATTGATGCACACTTTATCCGCGTGCTTACAGTTCATAAGAACTATTATCCGGTTTATAACGCAAGAAAATCTCAATCAAATGAAAACATCTAAATGATAACTTTTAATGTCCTAGATACGAAGATTAAACTTGATTGCGTAAACCCTAACTTTAACATAAATGGCATTTGCGAGACACTTCTTGCAACTTATGTCAAAATTTAATGGTGACTCTAAAATCCTAAAGGATAGGGGGGAGACGCTTTTTTTGTCGCTTTTATCTAAATTCTAAAAAAATATCAAACAATGTAATAATCTAAAAATAATAATATGATAATGTTACTACCAATGTAATAAATCTAAATCCAAAAGTCAAAGATTAAAGAGATGTAAGAAAAAATTTGTAAAAAATTCTTTTTTTAAGCCTTAAATTTTATCTTTTTTTAAGTATTTAACTAAGCATTTAACTAAGCCTCGTGGTGATTAAAACCGCGTGGAAGTAAAACTCGATTGGCATTTTGTTTAAAAAACCTAGGTTGGCACTTTGTACCACAACGATATTTATCATATACAAAAAAGCTGAATTTCTGTTTTTGTATATTTGACCAACAAAGTTTTTTCTCAAAAAGACTTGGAATATGTCAAGAAAGTTGGAAACTAAGTGTTAAAAGACTTCACGAAAAAACAAAATTTTGAAATTTGTAAACGATTTTTTTTCTCTCGTTAGCGAAGTTGGTTCTGTGTCAAAATGCGAGGATCAAACTTTTGATTAATATCTTTACATATGTTGTCTATATACAATATCTATGAAACTTTATAAGTATTTGAATTTGTATTTAAAAAAGTCTAAAAAAAATTATTACAGTAGTCGCCAATGGTAGGACTCGTACCACGGCAGCTATGTTCCGAAAGCCCAATGCGCTAACCACTCGACTACGCTGCCACATTAGGTGATACAGATTCAAAATTATATAAAAATTGTTTTTAACGGATATAAATGCAAAAGATTAGAAATCAAGCTGAGGTCGAAATGCAGTTCTTAAGTGAAAATCAAACTGTAGAACTTACATAACATGTAGAACTTACATAACATGAAGTCTAGGTACGTACGATATAAGTTTTACGTTTGCTCACGTTTTCTTTTAAAGCAAAGGTGAGACTCTTTCTCGTCACTGCCTCGGACGCAATGGTTGCCAAGAGTATTGTGTCAAACAGGCTCGAAAGCGCACTACTATTAAATTCAGTATTATTAAAGAGATAATAAAAAAAGTTGGTTTAATTCTTTTAAAATAAAAATAAATAAAGGTTTTAATTAACTAAGATTAAATACCAATTAAAATTATTTAATACTAATTAAAAGCAGCCGTGGCGCAGTGGTTAAAGTTCTGGCTCAGAATCCAGAGGTCCGTGGTTCTACGCCAGCTCCAGCCCAACAAGTGACATTGGTATGGAAGGAGGCGTGAACTTCCCGTTAAATGCTCTCCCGCGGTGCTCTATCATAAGACCGTAAGGACTTCTGGGAGCACCTAAATACATACAAAAAAAAAATTATTATTCAAAAGCAAAATTGATAAGAACCTGAATCTCTCCATATTAAAAACCATAATTTAACCAAAGTGATTTAAAAGTTTTTTAATTTTGTTTTGAATATACATACAACATACATACATAAATACACACACACACACACACACACACACACACACACACACACACACACATACATATATATATATATATATATATATATATATATATATATATATATATATATATATATATATATATATATATATATATATATGTATATATATATATATATATATATATATATATATTATATATATATATATATATATATATATATACATATATATATATATATATATATATGACCTTTCAAAGTTAACCGGTTTATTTTGCGGCCATATAAACAGACAATTTTTTGAATAGAAGCTAGTAGTTGAAAAAAGAAAACATTCAAATATAAAGCAAAATCTATAATTTGCTCCATAAAGGCAAATCTATGTTAGATGCAGTAACGGACCTAGGGAAGGCGTTAATCTAAAAGTTCTAAAGTATCTTAGAAATGGAGGACCTTTTTTCTTTTTAGGAGGCACAAATGTTATACAAAATGCAAAATTAATTTAACATATTAACAACCCACCAATTCCTGGAACCTCAACTGGTCAGACGCAGAAAGAGCTTGCAATTTTAAAATTTAAATGCAGACAAGCATTGATAGGAAAGTACTCTTATCTCAAGAATATAAAACATATCATAAATAAAACTCAAATGTAATACATTGATAGAGTAATTAAATCAATTCGTCATTCAAAAAGGTTTATAAAATTTTATACCGAGAAAACTTGTACATAATTAAAGACAATAAAACCTATTGCAAATAGTAGAGTAGACCGGGCCACTTTTAATATTACAAAGTATGTTATTTTGGGATAACACCATATTAAGATAATATAAAATATTCATTATTTTAAAATAATAAATATTTTACATTACAATAGCTAGTGAACAGGGGCTCACAGTGGCTGATTCAGATAAAACCCAATTTTTTTCAGCTAACCGTTATCGCAATAATTTAAATCTTCCTATATTTATAAACGGTAATTTACTCGATGAGTCATCTACCTTCAATTTCTAGGATTTACTCTTAACTAAGGTTGCATCTCTTTATTGTACTCACCACTTTTTTACTCCGGATTCTATTCAATATCTCTATAAATCTCAAATCCGTCCTTGTTTGGAATACTGTTGCTATATCTTGGGTGGATCTTGCAATGATGTCCGTTCTCTTTTAGACAAGGTGAAATAACGCATTATGAACATAGTTGGACTTGCTCTTGCAGCCAATTGCTCTTGCTTATCTTTCTCTTTTCTTTAAATACTATAATGGGCGCTGCTCTAAAGTGCTAGAGTCTCTTGTGCCATCTACTAAAGTTCATTCTCTCATTACTCGTCTTTCAATTAAATTTTTATCCTTTTTCTGTGACTATTCTTAAATGCTCCAGAAACTCTTATTTGTCTCGTTTTTTTCCTCTAACATCAGTTCTTTTAAATTCACTTCCTTCATCTTGCTTTCCAGATTCATATAATTTGCAATCTTTTAAATCAATCGTTTTTTAATTTGCAATCTTTTAAATCAATCTTTTCTCCTTTAATGACTTCCTACTCTAATGGTGGTTACTTGCAGAGCCGCCGAGAGCAGTCACGCCTGGAACAGCAACCCTGATTGACGCTCTTATGCGACCCTGGTTGCAAAGATATTAAAAAAAATAATAATAAAATAAAATTATAATCTTATAACTATTAATTAATCACCGTTGCAGCCTAATTTATTGGTTGTTGTAAATTTTAAATGTAGTATGATAAATTTATTAGAAGTATTTTAAAGATATAATAAATCAATAGTTTTTAGATATACATTTAAAACTAAAGTACTTTTTAATTTAACTTAAATTTTTTTTTTTTAAATTCCTCTAAAATTTTATATTCGAAAATGTCTTTTACTCCAATTGAATGCATATCTTATATTCGCATTTTTTATCATTAAATGCTCATCATCGATGAAAAATACAACAAGAGAATTATTACGATTGACATAAAATCTTTTTAACTTTTAACCACCGATACTTAAAAAGATTTTATGTCAATCGTAATAATTCTTTTGTTGTATTTTTAACCCAAGTGCCAAAATCTAAAGCTCGCTTTAGATTACCTATGTTTCAGATGGTATGCAAGTATCTCCCAAATAAAAAGAAATCCTACACACTCTAAAAACAGTCCGTTAAAAAAAGTAACGGTTGCGCTTTTTCGTTAAATTAACGGGTTAATTCGTTACCAAAAACCAGAGTAAAATTAACTATTTACGGATTCTTTGAAATTTCGTTAATTCAACGGATTAAATATTCTTAATCGGTCAAAAAAAAATTTCAGTATATTATAGCTTTTTATTTTGAAAATGATAAAGTTTTGAATGCATTTTTTTCACATTATATTAGCTGTACATTTACATCGTAGATAAAAGTTGGTTGCAGTAAGTGTAATATGCAATTTTTTAAAAAGCTTTACATTTAGTAGACAAAGCAAATAGATAAATATAATTTAAATTACGCTATGTTATTTTGAAGGTTATTTAACTTATTTTAAATTTACTATATAAAGCTTTATACAGAAAATTTAACAATAAGGTTTATTTTATTTTAAATTAAAAGCCATTAGTATTACTAAAGAATATATAATAACATATATGGTAAGTTAATACATATAAAATATGGTAAGTTACTACATGTCTAAATCTAGAAAATTATGCAAGAATATATGCAATCCATATAGTCTATATTATAGAAATAAAAGTTCAACTAATCCTTTACTAGTAGTAAAAGGTTAGTTGAACAATTATTTCTATAATATAGACTAAATAGATTATTTATAGTCTTGTTTAACTTTATATTTTAGACATATGACATGTAGTAACATGCCATATTAGTTTAAATCAGTTGTAAAATTAAAAATGTTAACATCTTTGATAGGTATATTTATTTAGGTTAGTTACAGCTAAGTTTACATGGCTAGTTAATATGCTTTTATAAATTGCAATTTTTATTAATTTCCAAATTAAACATGTGGCATTCAATATCATAAACTAAGTTTATACTGGTGTGTTTATATTATTTTAGATTTTTTTGTTTTAGACACATGGCATTTGCTATCCCACTGTAAGTTAAAACTAGTTGTAAAATTAAAAAAATTATATTAGAACTTCTATTTCTTTTAACATTCATGTTTATTTAATTGAGTTACAACTAAGGTTATATATGAGTTATTTATACTATCTTAGAATTTGCTGCTTTAGAGGCATGGCATTTAGTGTCACATTGTAGGTTTAAATTGGTTGTAGAATTTATATTGTAACTTGCATATTTATTTAGTTGAGTTTAATCTAAGTTTATATTTGATGTGTTTGTATTATTTTAGAATTTACTGTTTTAGACACGTGGCATGTGGTATCCCACTGTAAGTTTGAATTAGTAAATTTAAAAAAAAATTATATTTTAACTTGCATTTCTTTTGACGTTCATGTTTATATAATTAGATTACAACTAAGTTTGTGTATGGCTTGTTTATATTATTTCCAAATTTGCTATTATAGACATTTGGTATAAGCTGTCATACTGTAAGTTTAAATTAGTTGTAAAATTTTTATTGTAACTTGCATTTCTATTGGCGTGCATATTTATTTAGTTGAGTTTCAACTATTAATAATAATAATAAGTTTATATCTGGCGTGTTTATATTATTTTAGAATTTGCTGTTTTAGACATGTGACTTGTAATATCCCACTGTAAGTTTGAATTAGTAAATTTAAAAAAATTGTATTTTAACTTGCATTTCTTTTGGCATGCATATTTATTTAGCTTAGTTAAGACTAAGTTTATATCACACTTTTTTAACTATTATTCTACTATATTCTATATTCACTATTATTTTAGAATTAGCTATTTTAAACATGTGACAAGTGGTATGACATTGTAAGTTTAAATAAGTTGTAAAATTAATTTTTTTATATAGTTGCTTGTTTTTTTTGGTCTGCATATTTAATCTTGTTTTGATTTATCATAGTTTTTAAAAGGTTAGAGACCTTATTTTCTGCTCCTGATAGGTATTGATGTATGTAAAATGTATAGAGTCTTTCAGTTATCAGATAATGTCAAGGTAATCTTATACTTTTTTTTTAATTTACATAATAATAAAGATATAATTTACTTGTTCCATTTAACTTTATCTTTAGAAAACGATATCAGAGATAATTAAAATAACAAAATTTAGAATAGAAATTTATATATAATGAATTACCAAAAACATTTTCTATAGTGTTATCAGTAACATTTTATTTTGGTTTTATACTAGGTATGTTATTAAGTTTCCATATTTTCCTTATTTTATTTTATATTAATTTTTAAGAAGTTGACAGCATGGTGTCCGATTTAAAGTGCAAACCTGTGTACGAGTAACAACAGTATTCAAAACCAAAACCTATTTAAACCAACCAAACCAAAACTAGCGACCAAAAACTAATATCTTGGCATTGGTTTATTTTAAACATCTATTATATATATGTGTGTGTTTTATATAAATGTACTAGCTTGAGTATAGTGTATTAAAAGTATTTTTTTTAACTATTTTTATTGTAATTTAAAGTATATTGGATTAAATATTATTAATATTTGATTAGTTTTCAATTTTGGTTAAAACGTTTTAATGTAGAATATCGAAATAAAATAATGCAATTAAATAAAAATGCAAACATTAACAAATATAAGGATTATTTGGTTATGAAGTCACAATTCTGGTCTCTCTAATTTTAGATTTTAGTGATTTTAACGAAGTAATCACTAAAATAACTTATTAACACATTTATTTCATAGAAATAACAACCGCGGAAAATTTGCTGCCTAGTGTAATAACTCCTTAATTTTAACGGATTATTCGTTGCACTAACGAAATAAATCCTTAAATTCAACGGAGATTCAACTATTCGTTAGTGCAATAGCGACAGATACAATTCGTTGTATATAACGGATTTTTTCTTAGAGTGTAGTAGTACCAACCTTCAATTGACTATTTAAGCTGTTAAAGAAGGCGGTAAATTGTTAACGACATAAAAAACCTTTTGAGTACCGAGATCAACGCTTAAAGATAAACTAAATGGACGTTGACAATCAAGTTCTATGGGGGAAAAACAGTGTTTACAAAGCAACAAGAACAAGCACTAGTAACCAGGCTTTTTTACATAGCAGATTGTGGATTTCTAGTGATAACAAAGTAGTTGAGGTATAATGCTTATTTATATGTCAAAAAATTACATCGTTGCCGATTACTTTACAAAGGTTTGTCTATTAGATGACATAAATCTTATTTAGTATTATATGACTGGTTTCTGGCTATCAAGCGTAGACATCCGCTGTTGAATTTTCGTGCACCTGAACGATTTTCTAAAGCAGCGAAAGCTTTTAATAAAGATCAAATTGAGAAATTTTTTAAAGATAGCAAAAAGGTTCTTGCTCTTGATATTGATGTAAAAAATCAACCAGTACTTATTTATAGTTGTAATAAAACAGGTTTGTCGTCGGTACCATCTACTAAGTTTTTATCGAAAAAAGACACACAACAAGTTCAAAAACTAACCGCAGCTAAGAGAGGAACTTAATTAATAACAACTTTAATTGTAACTATTAATGCCCCAGGGTCAGTTTACCACCATTTTTGATTTTAAAACTCCATCCTGATGTTTCCAATTTTCCAAAAGGAACTTCTTTAAAATGTAGTAAATCTGTTTGCTGTTGAATTCTATATCCTTAATAACATTGAAGTAGTATGTTTACCTCCAACATTTGCAATAGCTTGACATACACTAAAAAAAAGGTAATAAAACAAAAATGATCACAGACTTAATCTAAACAACTCTCTAACGGATCTCTTTACCTCGCGATTGATTCTATATAATTTTTAACATAGTATGGGAAGAGATGGTTGTGAAAAAAAGACTTATAGATGCATTCACTTATTGTGTGCTGCACCCTCTCCATGACACTCTAAGGAACACAAATATAAAAACAGGGAGTCATTCAAAGATAACATCAATTTTCAGCAAAGAGATTTCAAACCCAACTCACACAAAACCTCATTTTGCACACGTCACATGCATTGAAAACATTTAAATTTGAAGAAAAAAGAGAAAAACTCGGGATGTGTTTTCCAATCCAAGTGATTCGAAGAAGAAGAAGTTCTCCATCAAACAAAAAAAAAAGCAAGTGGCTCAAAAAAAAGGAAGTTTTTGTCAATTAAATAAAATCAAGTGGCTTAAAGAAGAGGAAATCCCTTAACTTAAAATCATTATTAAATCAAATTCAACCGAGTAGATCAAAAGATTATAACAGAATGAGCAAAAAACAACTCACTGCAGTGTATGCGGTATAGCATGGGTGTATTTATTTGACTGGCCAATGCGTTTCTTGCCATGAATTGGCATGTGAAGTCTGCTTTTGCATCGACATGTGCAAAGAGTGTGCTTAATTTGATAAAATATAATAAAGCAATTACTTTTTTTTCAGATTGGCGAAATTGCCCCATAAAAAGCAAAATCGCCCCATATAAATGTGCAATAAAAATTGTTATTCATGAGTATAAGTAATTTATTTTTTTGAATTTTTAAACGCGGTTGAACTAAATATAGTTTATTCAATATTATTTAGTTAATAGTGTAAGGTAAAAGCGTGTCAGGTTGAACAGACAATATTAAAACAACAAAAGTGGCGAAATTGCCCCAAGCATTTTAGCTAAAAAGCTATGATATGTAACTAGCTTTAGATTTTGTATATTAGATTTAGACCTGTTCTTCCCTCTCCCTATTTTGTATTTTAGATTCAGACCTCCCTCTTGTATAAGAATAAGAGGCATATAAGAACATTATAAAAACTATTAATAACTGTTAGAATAAAAAAAAGTTTTTAAAAAGATCAGATTTTCTTTAATAATTTTAATGGACTTTGGATCATTTGAAAAATTTTAGCTATTCATAAAGTTTTAGCTATTTAAAAATTAAAAAACAAAAACATTCTTTAAAAATATAAAAACATTTCTTAATAACGTAAAAACAGGAAGTTTAACTTAAGGACTACTAAAGTTTTTTCAAATATCAAGAAATTTTTCACCTAGAGAAAAAATGTTTAAATTTTTTTTTTTTTTTTTTTTTGAAAAACATAACCAAAAATCCATAACGGCGTAAAAATAATGTATAAAACACTTCCATTCTCATGTTTACTACTCAACTTACTGAAGAAGTTTAAATATAACCCTAAGCCCACATGTAAAATTTTGAATGAAATTTCTGGTTATCATAAAATATGCAACTTATTTGCAACAATGATTATTTTTTATATATTCCTAAAGAGATAGTAAGTTAAATAAATAAACTCTTTCAAACTAATGGTCCAAACATAGAAAATATTCCAATAATAACTAACACAATAAAATATCATATTCATCCCGTAAATTCTATACTAGATAACTTTAAAATTTCCATTAAAGAGTTTAAATGTGCTTATAAAATAATTAAAATCAATAAAGCGAGACGCATAAACATGTTTTAATTTAAGAAATATATAGTATCAACCTTTAAATTAACACTTATGTTATCGCAAAGCGATTTTTCATGATCTATAAGGTCACTTCCAGTGACGCGACAAACTTTATTATGTTCACATCATTTTGGTATCAAATAATATTTTATTAAAAAAAAAAAACTGTTATTGGAGCCTTGGATCAAACAAATCCAAATCCGAAATGTTTACCTTAAATGATTAGATAAAGGACTTTCGATCTTTCTTAATAGATTAAACTAAATCAAAGCATATTTTATTAATATTAATACCTAATGGTCGCACCACAGAGCACTGTGGAAGAGCATTCAACTAGGAAGATCACTCTAGATTCATAAGTAGGTATCAAACCACAAAATCTTTTGATTTTGAAGCAAACGCAGTCATCACAACTTAAAGTCTGCTTTAAATTTCAGTGGATTTAAGTATTGAATCCACTAAAATAAAAAGTACATCTGTATATAAAGTTATTTGGAGTGTAAGTATATAATTGAAGTGTAAGTATATAAAGTTATTTGGCTTCTGAAGCTTTTCATCACTCATCACACGCTCTACATTATTTTTTCATCACTCATCACACGTTCTACACACGCTCATCACACGCTCTACACACTCATCACACGCTCTACATTATTTTGAAAAAAGTTTACTGTAAACACAACAAATTGAATTTTTTACTGCAAAATTTAATACGTTTCTTGTTTTAAGAAATAAATATCCAATTAAAGGGATCCACGAAAATGCTTAATTTGAATATCCTGTAACACATATCGAACATTATACTACTGTAAGATTGGTGGATTGGGGAATGCAGCCAACCTGGTTGCTAGGGAAAAAGCAAGCCTAAAGGATAAAGATAGATTTATGGCTGAATTTTTCAAATTGTTTGATATACTGAATTGTAATTATTACTTGTCAAGAGAAAAACTATTCGTCAGAATGTAACTATGAAGCCCACATTAATTGCACGTGTGAAAAGAAAGAAAAAATTCCAAAAAAATTTAAGTTTTTATACTTGGGAAAAGAGTTAAAATTCTGTTTACCTGTACACATCAAATTAGGGAGAAAAACAAAAAGTTACATAAAATTGGAGAAAGAAGACTTTTTTAATTAGTTATATTTTAAAATAATTATTAGTTAATAATTATTAGTTAATAAAACTCCTATGTAAAATTTAAGTTAATAAAACTCCTATGTAAAATTAATTTTAGTTATATAGATAACAAAGGTTGCAAATAAGTAATTTATTTAATTTACTATCTCTTTAGAAATATATAAAAATAACAATTGTTTTTAAAAAGTTGCATGTTTTAATTTTATGATTACCAATAATTTTATTAAAAATTTTCCATGTGCAAATGTAAAAAAGTTAAACTTTAAAAAGTATAAAAACTTTTAAATAATCATCTAAATGAAAAAATTTCATTAAGATACCTTGGGAACATTATGAAACACTTCGTATATTAAAATTTGATCTTTAGGGTCAAAATGAAATGGCCTAACATATATGTTCTACATTTTATGTAACCAAATTTCTCAGATATATAAAAAAAACGAATTTCAAACAATAGGGAGTCATTTTTTACAAGAACAAAAAATCCGCAATTATACGTTGTTAGTTCATGTTCATTCCTCTATTTTATTTTTTATTTGAAAGAAAACGCAGTTGTTCAAAAATATCTGATAATATTAATACGCTAATTTAATATTATTAGTCGAATTACGTCATTTTCAAGGCTTTTCTATTTTAAAGTAGTTTCTAGGCTTTTCTATACGCGGTTTTTTTTTTAATTTTATTTACTAACAACGCGTATTACGGGTTGCTTACTGCTAGTTATTAATTAATTGCGTTAAATTGTAATTTAATCTTTTGAATTATTCCAGATAAGCAACATTATTAGGCAAACTTTTTTGTTAAATGCACTTCCGGTGCTTTGTGATAAAACCACAATTTAAATTAAATGTTATAAAATGATTTTTTTAATGTTTTGTCATTAGAGCATTTAGCAAAGAATTTCACGCTGCTTTTTTTGAAATTCTTTGAAACCCGTGAAAACTGTATTGAATTATATGAAATTGTATCTTGGACCTCTTAATTCTAAAGCCAGCATTCCAACCACTGCGCAAAGACTTAAAGAATTCAGCTCTGATTTAAATCAACTTAAAATATACTAACCGCATACTAGAAAAGATGCAGTTATAAAAGTTTATAGAAAAAATAATAGATCAAAAAATAATAAATCAGTAGATTAAAATATCTGTATGTCGGAAAATTAGTAAATCATGCTTTAATTAGATGTAAGTATATATAAAAAAAAAGTTGTCGGTTGAAAATCACAATCGTCATATTCAACGAAGAAATTTCAAAATTAGGTCAAGTTATAGGCCACTATTATTATGGCTAATAACTCTAAATGTATTTTATTAGTTAAAATTAATTAAACATTCAAGTTAATGAAACATAACATAATATATATAATATAAGTATAAATACGAAATTGTTAAGAAAACAAAAGAAAAAGAAAATACATCTTTCAATATGAAACTCATTTTAAATGTAAACAATAGGGTAAAATAAGCATAAAATAACTTTTCAAAAAAAAATTGTTTTTTTTTGGTCTATACTGTAACTTAAATATTCTGAAAGTAAATTTATCTTAAAGTTCCAAAATTTTTTGTTATTGATAACAAATTTGGCAACAGCGACTCAATAACCTATAATATGATTAAAAAAAAATTATAAATCTAAAAAATTTAAAAACATTAACAAAAAAGCACAAAATGACAACAACGAACTATAATAACACCGAATCATTTTCTGGTGTATTTGAAGTTTTGCATTTTTTTTAAAAACATTAGAAAAAATTTTACTATAAATTTATTTAATATTAGCTTTTACAATATTCAGGTTTCACAAATACTAAAAAATTCAGCTGCAATATCGCATAATAATGTCTTTTAAAAAGAAAATGAAGAAACCATATTCCAATAAAAACGTAATTAAATATATTTTAATGTCATATAACGAGAAAAAATTTAAATAAAATATTTGTAATGTTTTATATATTAACGAAAATATATAAAAAGAGAACAAACTTTTAACATGTCAATCCATTAACTTGTTCAGAAAAGTAAATAATTAAAAAATCAATAAATTAGTTCAATTTTCAAGTTAGCTATCACTGCTCGGGCTTAAATATCCAAGTCTATGAAACCTTGCGTGGTAATAGAAAAGGAAAATTTAAAAAGCAACACGACACGACTTGATAAAAAAGGTTTATAGAGCGACAAGAAAAGGGGATGGTGCATAATTGTTAAAAAGGCGACGACGTTAAAATTAACTGTTCATTTGTCTTTGGATATGCTGGAGAAATTCGATGTAAGACATAGAAGATTCTGTTCGATCATCAATTAAATTGCTCAAAAACAAGAATCGGTGTTTACCATCTTCCCTAAATTAAAATATTCTGAAACTTTAGATATACTGACTTTAAAAATATGCAATTATATTAAACCCAGTAAACACATGACTTGTACTAAACGTCTAAAAGATGTATTTTAGGCGTCTAAAGCACTTTCATTTGTTTATTGGTTAGGAAAAAACAATTAACATGTCCCACTATACCATTTAAATACAAAAGTGAATATTAATTATGCAATAAATTGAAAAAAATTTTTTAAAGACTTTACTGTTATATAGTTAAATAAAATATGAAAAAATAATATATTTTATTATGTTATTCAATCATTTCCTACTGTTGTCTGAATTAAAAAAAAAATGTTCAACCCAAAATTTAAATAATACTTCAAACCGAACTACAAACTCTGTAACCTGGTTTGTTGGGTAAGGTCGAGCAGTGATATTTTTGTTCGGAAAATAATTTTAGTTTTAGTTTTTATTCAGTTTAGAGACAAAGTTTTTAGTTTTAGTTTCTATTCAATTCAGTAAATAAATTTAGTTTTAGTTTTTATTCAGTTCATGTTAAAACAATTTTAGTTTTAGTTTTTATTTAGTTCAATTTTCGTTTGTCGTATAAATTTTTTATCTAATTATAATTTAATATAATTTATAAATAATATAGGTATATTTAATTAAAAGAAGTAAGTCTTAATTCTATAAACAAACAAATAAATGAGAACTTAATTAAATGTAAAATTATACACCTAATCTCATGGCTAGAAGTTCAGACCCCCGCCCACCGTCCTTAATAAAAAACACAAAAACAACCTGTCCTTATTGCTCTAAAACTTAAAAAAACTTAAATTATTAGGTATAACTAAAAAAAAAAAAAAACTCATCAAATTTGGTAACAATAAAAACTAATAAATAGTTATTGTATAGACTTTAACAATTACTCATATATTTTACAATGGTGCAATATGAGGGTAAACAGCACGTCTCATCTTCCAGAAATTTAAAGCATTTTAACATATAGAACTGTTCCTTATTTCAATAAAATATTTGTTGAGCTCATTTTGTGCTTCATTACCTGGAATAAGCTTTATTTTATCTACTTGCTGTTTTGCCGCTAAAAATTTCCATTTCTGGAGCAACCTCAGCAGACAGAGTAGATGCACTTGCTAAAGGTTAATTATGTTGTACCAATTTTTTAGCCTCTGGCAAAATGTATTCCTTTGCACACTCTCTGATTTGTGTATGCTCATTATCTAAAAAAACTATAGCACATGTGGGGTCAAATAGACATGCTGCACATGGCAATGGATTAAAATTAGGATCATTTGGCTGCAAAAGAACAGCAAAACGACGGCGTAGATCTTCAAGCATTTTAACTGCTACATCTTTGGCATCTCCAAATTGCTCAAGGTGACATTCTAAATTAAGTATTGAAGGTATAACACTGAATATATAATATATATATAATAATATATATATACAGTCGTGGCCAAAAGTTTGGAATCGCCCAATATTTTTCAACAAAAACCATGTTTTTTCTAATTTATTGCATACAAATAAAGATAGTATAGCACCAATTCATATAATGCTGCATATTAGACTAGAGTATATAGCACCAACAATGTTGAACAAATCTAACAATATAAAAAGTTGCAAAAATTTAATATTTGGTAGGATAACCGCGGTTCTTTAATACAGCCGCAATTCGACGTGGCATGCTCCAAACAAGTTTCTTGCACAGTTCTGGTGTTATCTCTTTTGTCCAAACTTCCACTAGCTTCCTCTGTAAATCTTCAATATTCTGTGGCACCTTTCTTCTCACTTTACGCTTCAGTATGGTTCACAAATTCTCTATGGGGTTAAGATCGGGGCTGTTACCCGGCCAGTCGAGAACGGATACCTTGTTTTTCTTGAAGAAGGCTTGCATCATCTTAAAAGTGTGGCATGGAGCATTGTCTTGCTGAAATATGGTTGTTCTATGTGACTCCATGCTTGGGAGCAGCTTTTCCTGTAGAATTCCCTGATAAATCTGGGAATTTACTCTCTGCCCCTTCGATACAAGATGTAACCGGCCGCGAAATCGAGCTGAGAAGCAACCCCACACCATTATTGACGGTGGATGTTTTACAGTAGGCACAGTGTACTTCTGAACATACCTGGATCCTTGTGGTCTTCTAACATAATTACATGATGTCCCAAATTGTTCAAATGTGCTTTCATCAGAAAACATTACTTTCTCCCAGTCCTTCTCCTTCCAATATTTGTGCTTTTTGCAGAAGTCCAACCTCCTCTTGCGTTGAGTGTCATTCAAGGCTGGTTTCTTGGCAGGTTGTTGAGCAGGACGCTTCAGATCAATCTGAAGCACATGTCTGATCGTTCTTGTGCTTGGTAGACTTGCTTCAGCATTTCCAGGACTCAAATCATCCAGAATCCCATATGATGACAGCTTGGGATTATTCTCCACAATAAACTTGTCAACCTTTCAGTCACTTTTTTTGGTCTGCCACTTCTCCCATGTGACGAAAATGTTCCACATTGTCGAATTCTACTTAATGTCTTACTAACACAAGATTGTGATACATTTACAATTTTTGCAATATCTCTAGTTGAATTTTTTTGTTGAGCTAATATAAGAATTTGACCTCTAATAACTTCTGATAATTCCTTCTTTTTTCCCATTAAAATGATTAAAAAATGTAATTAAAACTGCTGCTTAGCTACCACAAATGGTTTAACTAAATAACGGAACAAAGACAACTAAATAGAATTAATATTTCTGACCAAGGTTCCACAAAAACACAAAAAAATGAAAAGTTCACACGTGATTCTAAACTTTTGGCCACGACTGTATATTATTATATATATATTTTTTAACAAGGAAGAGACAACAGAGCTATGTATGCTTGTTTTAGTTTATCAGGCACTTCATCTTTGATCTAGACATATGGGATGTAACACAAAAAATTTACCCTGTACATAATTAAATTACAACTACCCTTTAATAATTAAATTTCTATGCACGTGAACATATCTAAAATCAGGGATGGCATTAAAAAACCCGCCCAATAAAACCCACCTAAAAACCCCCAATAAAACCCTGGAAAATCTGGGTTTTATTGGGTTTTTTTTAAAGACATTTAATAAGTTTATGAACTATTATAACCAACTTTAACATTATAACTATAATATTATTAACTAAAATAATTAACTATTATAACCAACAATAACAGCTATCAGAGCAGGTTTACTATTAATTGAATCATTATTTGGAAATACGTTATTACAATTTTTATTCAAATATTTTTATCGATTGAGATTTTTATTACTTTATGTTATTCATCTCCCAAGTTAAATTTAAATAAGTAGTAGTGACCAGAGAAGCCAACACAACAGTCGAGGAGGCTACCTTGTTGTGGTTACAACTTTCTCTCAACCCTTAGGCGATAGTGGTGTTGTGGTAGAGCGCTCGCTTCATAAGTGAGAGGTTTCAAGTTTGTTCCCCACCACGTCCCTAGCAGTTCCGCGCTTAACTCCTTTTTCCGCGCAGTGGCCTTGTTCAACAAGGTTCGTGTTTCGGAGTTATAGAGTTGAGAGAGGGTTATAACCACAAATAAGTAGCCTTCCCGCCTGTAGTGGCCTTCCGCCTGTAGTTTAAGAAAAAAAAAAAACTCTTTAACTCCTAAACAGGAATCTTTATAAACAAGGCTGCTGCACAGAGGAACAAGTTTGTTCATTTGAATTTCAAGTTCAAAGTTTAATTGAAACTTCAGTTACTACCTCCAATTCTCTAGCCTTCTTTTTCCCATTTCCTCATTGACATTTTTAATTATATAGAATAATACTTTTAAATTTAAAATAAATCAATACATATAGATTAGTCGTGAATTTTTTTTTTTCTATTACAGTTTTAAATTATATTTAAAAATCTTTTTCAAAATAATTTGAAAACTTTTTGTTATAAATAATTAAACAACAATATATAAAATATATTTTAAATAAAATTAAAGTAGAAAATGAAACTAATTTTCAATATTATTAAACAAAAACACAAAAAAATTTTGTACAGGGACAAAATAAAAATTAAACCCAAAAAACCCAGGTTTTTGCCAACCCTGTCTAAAATGGAAAAAAACCCGAAAAGTTTGACTTAAAAATGTTGCAAATTTCAGAAACTTTTCTTGTGTCATGTTTATATATAATGGTTCTGGTTTTTTGCAAGAGTTCTCGAAAAAAAGTCCTCCAATCATCTGGTGCTTCTGCTAGAAACTTTTGATTCACAATAGCCATGTACAGTGCCGGCAAAAAGTCTTGCAACAAGGTACAATTTTACACAAATCAATGTTTCCACGCCAGAAGGTTCAGTGTTATTACCTTATATTTTTATCTTTAGGTATAAATATATTTATAATGACAATTTTGTAGCTTAAACAGTTAATTCAGTGAAAATCATGGCTAAGATTCAGCAGCTTAGTAAAGAAGAAAAAGCATGCATTCAACGTCTTGCTAAAAGTTGTATGTCTCATGCAGACATTGCAACGATTTACATGGTTTAACGCACTACAATTTGGCGTGTTGTAAAGCAGGTTATCCCCCTGTCTCCTAAAAAGAGGTCTGGACACCCTAGAGTCACTTCACAGCGTACTGACACTTTAAATGTACTCTGTGTATATATATATATATATATATATATATATATATACACACACACACACACACACACACACACACACACACACACACACACACACACACACACACACATACACACACAAACTTATTATTTATGTTTAAGCTTTTTTTATTATTTATGTTTTAAGAAAAAATCATCACTGCCCAGTTAACAAACCTAATAACTTCTAATGGAGAATAAAATGGTCTGTCTTTTCTTAAATCTTCAATAAACTTTCTGATCTTTAAGCTCAAGTTGTTATTCAATTCTGGTAAACGACTCTAAAGATTTAATAAATAATTTTGTACAATATTATATATAATTATCTAGATAATATCTACATGCAAAAAAACTCTATATAACTTTTATATTTGCAGAATATCAATTAAGTATTTATCAAAACATTTACACATTATTAAAATATAATACACACATACACACACTACACACACACACACACACACACACACACACACACACACACACACACACACACACACACACACACACACACACACACACACACATCAACAATTTTATATCTTAATAATGAAATACACTTGTAAAATTAGTGTACAAACGATTAAAATGGCAGACCAAAAATAACAAACACAATTCACATAGTAATATGGTCTTCACAAAGCATGCATAAATATGTTTCATGCTATCAAATGATCAGAACACAATGTTTTAAACCTTAAAATCTACCTCTAATGATGATGAGATTCTAACAACGACATATGATAAAAAAAGATTAAAATCTAATAAAACCATTTTATTAACTAAAAAATATTTTTTAACTTAAAAAAAGTTTTAGTAAAAAAAACACTTACTGATAATTCTGGAACCATAGAAATATTGGATACATTAAATAGACACTGAACTACACTATCTTGGGTATCTCTTCCAACGAATATATATAATTTCTGTGAAAAGAAAAGTTTTTATAATTAAAAAATTTTATAAACTTTTATATCTTACAAAAGTTTAAAAAAAAAAAAAAAAAGTTATATCAAATTTTAAATAATAAAAAATACTTTGCAATTATCCAAAATGTAGACACCCTGCCTACTCAATCTTTCAGCTGATGCATGAAGTATTGGTGGACCAGAATAACTTTCATCATGCTTCAAAATACAGCGTCAATAAATTAAAATTTAAAGTTTAAAAAACAACTTAAAGCATGCCAAATACTGAATAAATTATGTAAACATTAAAACAACAACTTTTTATAATGTAAAAACTCCAACAAAATATTAAAATTTAAAATTTTTTTAATTAATGATATTTGTAGTTGTATTGTAGTTGTATTTGTATACGTTTATTAATTGTATATGTAGCTATTTATAAATCTTAAATTTAGCTGTTTGTAAGTCTTAAACTATGTATGAAGTTTAACAATTTTATGCAGTTGTATTATGTTTATAATTGCTGTATATAATATTTTTGTACATGATAAAACATGCATAAAATAGCTTGATTTGTTTTCAACACAATTTTTTTTTTTACAAATGCTACAGACTGGATTTTAAAAATTTTAAAATTTTATTATAAACCAAGACATTATAAACAGAGAAAAATATGCTCATAAGATAAGACTGTATAGAAGTGTGGAATGAAACTTTTTTTTATAATTAAAAAAAAAAACTATTACTTTTGATTTTATTGCATAAAAAAAGACATTTTTATTTATATATGAAAAAAGTACAATTTCATGTTTTTACATAATATTTTTTTTCTAATATGTTTTTGATAAAATGATTATAATCTTTGCTTCATTTGAGACCCAACATAACTTACTTTAAAAAAAATAATTTTTTAAAATATTTGGAACCCTGTAAATTTTAAATAGTTTTGGGAATCTTTTTCATAATTTCCTAGAGCATTAAAATTTTTGTTATACTTTGGAAAAATTATAATTCAAAAAAACTTGATTTTACTGTATAAAAAACATTTCTAATTCAATCTTTATTAAGTTCAGGTTATGGTAATATCTCGTCAAAAAATTCAGCTGTATATATTCATGCATTATGATAAATTTTTTGCTACTAACATTCTAATTTTCTCAATGTTTATAATTCATATATAAAATATATATATGCAAAAATATTAAAAAATTTGTATATAACTAAGTCAAGTTGCTAGGTTCAAAAAATTTACTTATATTTTATATAAGTAAATTTTTTCATAATATGTTCATACTTTTATTGTAAGATTTTTGAAAAAAAAAGACATTTTTTGATGTATTTTATATATAGCATCAGAGAGGTAGAAACACTTTTTTTTTTAAATTTTTCTATACTACTTTTCTATACTAATGGCACACTTTTAAAAAGGTTTTATAGTTTTTTAACAATTTTGAACAAGTATGATGAACTTGGTGATTTTTAACAACAAATTTTTTAGTGTTATTATAAGCGTTTTGTTTCCAGATAAAAAAAAATTTCTATTTTTATCAGTTATACAAAAAGACATATTTAAAATAAGATGGTGTGAAGACGAAAAAATATTTCTAAATTTACAATTTGGTAATTCCTTGTCTTCATATATGCCAACACTTGTTATATTGTTTTGTGTTTTAACTGTGTTTTACTTTTTACTTGTAATTCTACCAGTGAAACCATTTTGCTTGTGAATTTGAGTTTATTTGCCATTGCTTTGTTAGTACTTTTAATTATTGTTGAAATAATGGGATCACTTGCTTCCAAATATTTTTGAAATTCAATATGAATGCGATATTTTTTGTCCTAATCTCAGATTTTTTTTATTTTTTATTTAAACTATGTTTTCAACAAGATTTGCAAATCTTGTCGAAAACATGTGGTTATCAGAGCTGATATCATCTAAATAATATTGTTGTTTGTACATGCTTTGTCCAGATGCACAATCAAAGCTTCATTCATTCATCAAGCCGATATATTCTTAGGGTAGCATAGTGGTTAATCTTGTAGTACTTTGTGAAAGCTTGGTTAAAGTACAGCATTGTACTTTTTGGCATTGTTTATTTATGCTTTAAATTGTAATTTATGCTTTAAATTGCATTTTAAGAACTCTGTAATACTTTTGAAGATGAAGCATTTTAGTACCTTATAAAAGATTTTTATTAGAAAATAGTATTTATAAATAAATTTATAAATACTATTTAATTATTCATAAATATTTCATTATAAATATTTTATCATAAATATTTCATCATAAATATTTAATCGTAAATATTTCATCATAAATATTTCATCATAAATATTTTATCATAAATATTTAATCATAAATATTAAATCATAAATACTATTTAATAACATAAATTCATAAAAACTATTTATAAATAAAAAAATTAACTGCTTAAAAATAAAAAAACTTTTGTTTGTTTAAATCATTAAGAAAACTCAAAATACTGATAAATGAAGAAGGATATAGCACTGTTTCTTGCAATATAAAGATTTGTTGATAAAAAAAACCCTGCGAAATGCACTTGCGCTTTAAGAAATTTGCAAAGCTTTTAATTGATCATTTTAAATTTGCATTAGTTAATAAAAATAAAATAATACATTTTGAAAAGTTCTTTTATATTAATAGTCATGACTTTTGCTTTTCTCTTAGTTCTGCATTTTCAGCAATGAATTTCTCAATGAACTTAATTCATTTTTGATATGTTCAAATATTTCTAAGCGAGTCAATTTTACTAACATTTTTAAAAACCAAATAACCTAAAAAAATTTAGTTTATTTAAGGCAAAGTGATATTTATCTTTTTTGTAGTGGTTCAGGGAAAATGTACAAAATAAATATGCAATTAAAATTAAAATTTTGTTTCTATTGAAATAAAATTGATTTAAAAATCAATATATGTAATCAACATAAATTAGATTAAAATTATAAAAAAACAAAACAGTAAATTTAATCACACAAAGTGACTTGGTTATTGGTATTTATAAAATTTTCTCAATTTTTTGCATTAATCTATTTTCTGTACCAATTATAAACATTAAGAAAATTAGAGCAAAAAAAAAGGGTGTTAGTAGTTAAAAAGGGTGTTAGTAGTTAAAAATTTATCATAATATATGGATATATGCAGCTGAATTTTTTAATGACAAATTACCATAACTTGAACTAAATAAAGATTGAGTTAGATTAACTTGAGAAGGATGTCTTTTGAGAAAACAACAAATTTAAAATTACAAAATTTTCATTTTTTAGCATTTTTTTTTTAGAGTATTTGTTGGAAAAAAAAAAAAAAAAAAAAAAAAAATATATATATATATATATATATATATATATATATATATATATATATATATATATATATATATATATATATATATATTAGGGTGTCCCAAAAAAAAAATTTTTTTTTGCACGCATGTTTTTCCCATTCCTTTATGTCTACTGAGTTTATATATATGAATAAAAAGTTTTTCTGAGGTCAATTTCAGCTATATGTGAAATCTCAATTTCTTAATTTTTGATAACTTTTGAGCTTTTTTTTACCTTTTTTTAGATTCCAACAATATTACTTTTTTAATGTTCCTTACCCTAGAGAATTTAGAAAACCAATGTTTTTAGACTATATAAGAATAAGCCTATCTGGCCTATTTGGTACAGAAGGTTCATTTGAACATGATTTACAGAGGGGGTCGATAATGATGACTAGTTGAGGAACCTTTGTGTTTTATGTATACTGTTTTGTTTTAACAGGATTTTGTCTATTCTTTTGATTTTAACCGCTTATAGTAATAATTAGAAGTTAAATATGAACTTGTTTTTTCAAATATAATTATGTAATAGTTATGAATACCTTCAATATACATTTATTTACTTAAATATTGTATAGTTAAATGTAATTTTTTTAGGGGGACACTAGAATAAATTTTTAAAAATTTGTTTTAGCATTAACTAATAATAAAAATATTAAATAAAATGGGTCGTACTCAAAAAAACAAAAAAATAAAGGCTGAGAAGAGAAAGTACAGCATGTCAACGAATCCAAGAAGGCTGCTGTTTCTTCTAAAGTACACAATCAATGAGCTTCCAATAAACAAGCGGGAACCATCGGAAATATGTAGAGATAAAATACTGAAGCTCCATAGTAAGTACATAAATCTGCATCATCTCAAATCAATTGGAACTCTAGCGGTGGCAACTTCTCTAAGATAAAGAATGATTTTTTAGGAGGAGAGTAATACACTCTTTGATATTTCATTGGCAAATTTTGAACAAAAAGTAAATCATGATCGTTTTCGTTCGGAGAATGCTAAAAAGGAGGATATTAGGTTTTATCTAGATCAAAAAAGAGAGCGAAACATGTATATTACAGAAGAGTTGGATAAAGTATTACAAAATTCAGTTAAAAATAAAAATATTCGGCTCAAGAGGATGAAGGAAGCAAGAGATAAAAGTAGTATCACAATTAATGCAGTAAAATCCAACAAACTTGAAGCTTCTTTTTATTCATCTGGAAATGATTCTGAATCGAAACTTAGTTTAGATTCTTCAGATGACGAAAAATTACCTAATAGATTCAGTCATTCTACTAAATCTAAGATAATGATAAGTATAAGTGCTGAAGATCTGGTAGACTGTACTGCTGCAGTTTCTGCCCGATTCAGAGTAGGTATACGCCCACAAACTTTATTAGTAGCTGCTATTTGCAATAAAGCTGGTGTAAATCTAGAAGATATTAATCTATCAAGAAGTACCGTTCATAGAAAAAGATTCAAAAAAATTGAGATATTAGGAGATAAGTTCAGGCAAGAAATTATAACTACTCTGAAGGGAAAAAAGCTATGTGTTCATTTTAATGGAAAAAGGATAAACAAGATTGAAGAAGATCTAAAAATAACTGTTTCTGTAGAAAGAATAGCGGTTAGTGTTACATCCCCTGATATGGATGACACAGATGACATACTGCTAGGTGTTGTTCAGACACCAAGTTCTAAAGGTAATGACCAGGCTGAAGCAATTTTGAATTTGTTAGAATACTATGACATTGTAGATCAAATATTTTCTGTTTGCTGTGACACGACTGCATCCAATACTGGAATACACTCCGGAGCTGTTGTTATCCTTAGTTCCATTCTTAATATTCCACTTATATGGTTTCTCTGTAGAAGACATATGCTAGAAATACACATCTCACACTTTATGGAGGCTTTGACTGGAGAGAAGACGAAGGGCCCAAGAAAAGGGCTGTATGTCAAACTCCAGAATAATTGGTGTTTTTTCAAAAAAGAGGTTGACAAGATGATAGATCTAGTTAGGTTTGATTGGAGTCAGCTTCAGGTTGAGTCACCTCTTTATGAAATTGCTAATTAAGCTCTGGAGTTCGGAAAAGAGGCCCTTGCCTCAAAAACTTTTGCGAGAAATGATTACAGGAAACTATGCGAGCTTTTTGTTTTCTATTTGGGAGGAGAAGTACCTGTACTGTGTTTTCATCAACCTGGAGCCTGCCATGAAGCTAGGTACAGTATATTAAAAGAAAAAAAGTTAAGTATAATAAATAACATATAAATAAAAGAATATAATAAATAAATATTAATGGTGACAAAATCTTACTCTTTAGATTTATGGCTGATGCTTTATACATTCTTACCCTGAGAATAACCGATAAGGTTATTCTCAGGGTAAGAATGTATATATCAGGACTTTGTAGGTGGATATAAATCTGACAATATGCAACAAAAATTAATGCTAGTGGCCAGGGACAATAGAAAGAAGCTTAAAAAAGATCTTTCCAAGTCCCAGTTAAAAAATATATAACTTATTATTCTTGAAATATACATTTTTTGACACGCTTTAGTATTTTTATTAAGAAAATGTGTAAAATTTTGGTTTTTAACAAAAAATGGAATTTTACATATTGCTGAAATTGTGGTCTGACAATGTTTTTTTTTTAATATATTTGCAATCAGGGGACACTAGAGAATGGGAAAAAATTGCGTGCACATAGAAATTAAAAAAAAAGTATAAATTTGGGACACCCTAATATATATATATATATATATATATATATATATATATATATATATATATATATATATATATATATATATATATATATATATATATATATATATATATATATATATATATATATTGTAGAAAATAAAACTTCTTAAGCAGATCCCTCTTTCGATTAATGATTATCGCAAAATTCTTCCAATGAAAAAATATTTAACGTTTCAAAAACAGAATACGAAGAAGCACTTAAACAAAACAGTTTTAAAAACTTTAACTTAAAGTACAACATAAAAAATGACACCTGCCAAAAGAAAAAGGAATAAAACTTGGTTTAACCCACCCTACAATAAAAGTGTCTCCACCAATGTTGGCCAAATCTTTTTGCAATTAATAGATAAACATTTCCCACCTTTAAACCCATTACATAAATTATCCCACTCTCTCAAAACATATATGGGAAACTGTTTTATATAATAATGCTGGATTTTAAAAACTTTCAAATCAAAAATATTTTGAGGGGTTGGTCAAGACTCTTAAATATCAGACAGGTCTGTAAAATTATTAAAAAACAAGTACTTTAAAAGTATACCATGTTGGGTTTTAAATGAAGCAAAATTATATAAAAATTTAAAGAAAGTTCACTTTTTTATTAAAAAACATTGAGAGATTTTTTTTGTAAAAAGTTTTCATTTTTTATAATTTTAAGAACACATCTAGGAATTGAGAGCAGACATTTTTAAAAAAAGATGACTGGCTAACATTTATATTGACAAAACATTCTTTAATAATAATTAAAAACTTTTTTATTTGCACTTATCTATGAATAATATATCTATGTATAATATATGTATATAATATATACATATATTATACATAGATATATTATTCATAGATAAGTGCAAAATAAAAAAGTTTTTAATTATTATTAAATAATGTTTTGTCAATATAAATGTTAGCCAGTCATCTTTTTTTTTAAATGTCTATATATATATATTTAAAAATGTCTATATATATATATTTAAAAATGTCTATATATATATATTTAAAAATGTCTATATATATATATATATATATTTAAAAATGTCTATATATATATATATATATATATATATATATATATATATATATATATATATATATATATATATATATATATATATATATATATATATATATATATATATATATATGTATATATATGTATAATATCTATGTATAATAATATATATATATATATATATACATATATATATATATATATATATTATATATATATATATATATATATATATATATATATATATATATATATATATATATATATATATATATATATATAATATATCTATGAATAATAATAATGAATATCTATGAAAGTATTTTTAAATAAATTTATATAAGTTGGATAAATATATATAATAAATATAAACATACAAATGCAAATGAAAATTAAAGAAAATTTTTAAATTAAAAAAATTACACATTTAATTTTTGCTTTTTTTTCTCATAAAACTATTTTTTCTCCTAAAATTAACACAAAAAAAAAAAAAAAAAAAAAAAAAAAAAAAAAAAAAAAAAAAAAATTTTTTCAGTTTCTATTCAAACCTATATTTAATATTACTTTAATAAAAATCATGAAAAGGTACATACTTCTTCAAGGAAATCTAATGCTGAATAGAGTCTTGGGTAGGTGCTAATCATTGTTTCAAATAAAGATTGCCATTTAAATTCTAGCAAAAAGAAAACACGACTATCCAAAGATACATTACCCAATTTAAATGCAACCTTTAAAAAAAAATTTAAAAATAAAAACTGAACTAAGTAATATATTAAACATTTAAAATATAAAATACATACATTTTTCATTAACGCCAACACATGGAGAGGAAGCAAACGTAAATGATGTGGCATAATGACACCTTGAGAATCTTTTTGTCCAGACAGTTCACTTCGATAAGTTTTGGAACAATCAATGCAAGCATTCATAAGAGCCTTAAATAATTAAAAAAGAAAAGAAAAAAAATTGTTTAAACAATTTTAGAATATTAGACTGAGTATTTCCTGAAATAAAAAAATTATGAACAAAAAAATAATCTTTTAATACCTCTCTTGCATCTCCAAGTGATGACATAAGAGTTCGGTCAACAGCTATAAACGAAATAATTATGGCAAAATCATAATAGTGATACCAGAAATAAAGTCAAAACATAATAAATTTTTAAATCATCATCATCATCATCATCATCATCATCATCAATCAATCAATCAATCAATCAATCAATCATCGGAAGTCACAAATTAAGTTCAAAAATATAGCATAGTCACAAGAATGAATACTCTAAAAATGAAGAATCAATATAAATATAGATATAATATTTTTTTCTATTATTTCCAAAAAGTTTGATAAAAAAATTATAAAAGTGATGTAACTAACCATTGCAATAACATTTATGTCATAATAAGTAAATTAATTTACATAATGAAATAAAACCAAAGTTAAGTAAAAAACAATACTAAGCTGATCATTTGCATAATGAATTACAACTATAGTTAAACAAACGATTTTTTCTATAAATAATACATTTAAAAAATATAACCATAAATCCAATGTTGATTCCTATTGTATGTATGTTAAATTGATATAAGAGGATATTTTAGGAAAATAATTTTGGCAGCGGTACCCTCCCTCCCAATCCCCCTTCCCGTGCCAGTTGCATAATGAAATTTTACTGAAGCATTGTCATGAATTTGAGCAACAAAAAGTATTTTAGCCTCTGTAAGAAATCATTTTAATAAAATAAAACTTTTTATTATAAATTTATTTATTTATTTATTTTTTTTGGGCATAAATTTAACAATAATTCAAACATAACGATTTTCTATTTAAACATTTAAAGGTATAATCATAAAAAATTAAGGAAAAAAAAAACTATATATATATATATATATATATATATATATATATATATATATATATATATATATATATATATATATATATATATATATATATATATATATATATTTATATAATATTTTTAAACTAGACATATAAAAAATATTATATATAATATATAATATTTTTCACAGTTCTAGAATATATAGTGATATTTGCATTGGTTTTAAAAAATATTATATGAGCATCAGGTTATACTTGCATTTCATGTAATTTTAACAATATTTTTTTCTGGTCCTGCATTAACTGTATTAAACATGCTAAAAAGATTTTTTGATTTACTAAAAAGGCAACATGAAAGTATAGAGTGTACCGTTAAAACTGCAAATGAAAATGATATCTTAAATCATTAAATATTCAAACATTTTAATAATACAATATATAATTATAACATCAATATACATTGGTACAGAGAATACTAAGATGCTATTACAGAAGTTAATGCCATAAATTATCTAAACTTACTTTAAAACAAACTAGACCCTAAATGAACAATACAGTTCGGAAAATGTTTCCAATTTATAATTACTCTATTATTAATTATTACATTAGTGTTAAAATAAAATAACTTCAAAAGTCAGAATTTAAATAAGTAAAAATTTCTTTTATTAAATTTAATGCCTTTTGCACTTAAACAACTGCTAATTTTCAGATTAGTTGATATTAATATTAATCTAATATTAATCTTTTTCTAATTTTGTTTCTTTAAGTTTGTAAGTCCTATCTGCTAATGGTATATTTGTTTATTATAGTTTTAGTTTCATGACATTTTTCATGATTCATTTTTGCTATCCATTACAACAGTTGATTACTTTGCGAATATTAGTTCAAAATAGATTAGGTGTTTTTGAAACAATATCATTATTATCAATAGTTCAAATTAATTTGTTGTCATCAGCAAATAACTTGCATTTAGAATTTAACCCACTATGTAAACTATTTTTATATAGCAAAAAGAAGTGAACAAGAACCAGGCATTTAAGTATTCCACTAAATTTTTGACACCAGATAGATTTTTATCTAGATCTGTGAAAATTTTTATATATAATATATGTTTTTCCCAGATCTAGAATTTGAAGTGATATGTCACTTTTTACAAATATTAGCATTATTTTTTCCACATTATAGGTAAGATGAGTCAAATTACGTTTTGAAAAAAGAAAACAGAATGCTCCTGCAATTTATGTTGTATCAATCAAAAGATCTCTTCTGGTATTTACCGACATTGAAAAAATACTGATATAGATGGAAAAATTTACATTAATAAAATATTTCAAAAAATTATTATAGCATTAAATGGAATAGTGAAAATAAAATCTACATGTCAAAGTGAATAATTTTAAGAAAAGTGAGAAAGACATTAGAGAAATAGCAATTAAAGATGGTGATTTGAACTAGGATAACAATCATTATAGAACAACGTCATTTTAGAAGCCAATGCTTTGATTTTTATGTCAAGCTACATTTTAATATATAATTTAAAACTATACAAAATAAAGAGTTTAATTCATAAAAAGCATTACTTTATTTTAATCTTAATTTTTTTTAATTTTTTTTTATTTAGGAACCCCAAGAAGTCTTTACATTCTTATCACAGAGCACAGCAGATGAGCATTTAATTGGAAGTTCACGCCTCCTTCCTAAACCATGTCGCAAGACTTGCCTAGAGGTGGGGTTTGAACCACGGATCCTTTGTTTCTAAGGCAAGTGCGCTACCACTGCGCCACGGCTGCTCATCTTATTTTTAAAATGTCTGTATTATAAAACCATTTACTCTTTCTCAACTTGAAACAACTTTCAACTTTAAAAAATCTCTCTAAATTTTAATTTTCAATTAAACAGATTTTTAAAAATTAAAGCAACTTTGAAATTTGAAAAATGTATAGAAATAGAGACATTTGATCAAATACAAATTCAAATACCTTAATTCTAGATTTCCAAATACAAATTCAAATACAAATATATTTAATCTGCAATTTCCAAATTCAAATACAAATATTTGTACTTAAGATTAACAAAAAATGTAAAGATTTTTTCAAGACAAGACTGATAAAATGGTCTACTAAATAGAAGAATGAAAACAAGTCTTCTAATAAATATCCCATAAAACTATGTTTTTGTTTTATTTTAGTGTTAATAATGAAAAAATAAACAAGGAACCTTGTGGTATTTATCAAAAAAAAAATATTAGGAAATTTTTTAATCAAATACAATATGAAAAAAAATATATATATATGCAAAATAAGCCTAATTTAATCAAATATGAATACAAATTAAAATACGTATTTGACCTGAACTCTGCTGACAAACACCAGGTATAAAAACAATACAGTCTAAATTTTATAAATAAAAATGGCAACATTTTAAAAGTAGTAAAATCATTTGTAAATCAATTTCTTACCAAGCTTAGAAAGAGAACAAAGGATAGCTTCTTCATCAGCATAGGCATAAACATCACTTAACTTTGAAGTAACTGGTAATGCAAGAGTATGCACTCTAATACGACGTTCTCCTAAAATACAACCAATAAAAAAATGAAAGCAGTTGATTTTCTGATAAAATAATACTAAAAAAAAACAAACTTAAAATACCTTTTACTGTAGTATAAAGAAGTGCAGCTTGAAAACTAACCATTGTTGAATCTGTGAGAGATTCTTCAATTGACATTTGCATACTAAAGCTATGATCTGGATTCACATTAGGTAGAGACAACAAATCAGTCGAGCGAACAAAAAAATTACCATGAAACGTGTGAATGCTTAAACCTGTAACATTAATATTTTTAATATCATTTAGTGTTATTAAAAATATTAACCTGTAACATTAATATTTTTAATAACACTAAAATAATTAATTAAACACTAAAATAATTTATCATTTTAAAACTTTGTATTAGGTTACTTTAATCCTGTTTCATTATTAACTTCAGTATAAACAACATTTGTTTTCAATATTTTTTTCACTGTGAATAAAGGTTATTAAAGTTGCTACTGTCTCAGGATCTGCATTTATATTATTTGCTGCACCCCCTCTCCCTCTCTTTATAAGATAGATACTTTATAAGCTCCACCTTTTTTCTACATATTGTATCGAACCCAGATTTATAACTATTTTTTATGAAAAATATGATAAAATTCATCCTTATTATTTTTTTTAAACTAACTTCATTAAAAACTTAAAATAAAACACATTTAATTTTTAAAAATACAATTATGGTTAATGATTTGGTTGATTATTAAACATTTATAGATATTTTAAAATAAAACTTTAAAAATATAAATGTGATTTATGATATTTGTATAAATTGTATAAAATTGTATAAAATCTTAGAAAAAAACTTAGAGATTTTAAAAACTAAACAAATAATTATAACAAAGATATAGACATTTAAACAATATAAAAACTATAGACATTTAAATGTTTTACCTTTAGTGCAACGAAGCCTCATGACAGCTTCAAATCCTATACTTCTTGTTAGGTAACGTCTAGTTAAGAAACATTTATTCATACAATATTATAAAAATTCTTAAAGTTAAATTTGCTGTAAAAATATTAGGTTTTAAATTTGAGTTAATATTCTTTTTGAAAATTATAATTTTTTAAAATTCATTTAGTAAAATTCACAAAAAAAAAAAAAAAAAATTTTAAAATAGAAACATACTTAAAATCATGCAAAAACTTCTGCAGCATTTCTGTGTTTTTTGTAGAATGAAAGTCCGGAAAATAGTGAATAGCACCACTTGAATACCGAGGTGCACAAGCTAATAATAAATAAAACACAGATCAATATTGAAAATTTTGTTGAATTTTTTTAAAATTGCTTTACAGATATAAAACTTAGTTGATGTAAAATTTGGTTGGCTGTGGTACTAAACAAATTTTGGTTGGCTGTGGCACTAAACAAAGATTAAACATTAACTAGAAAAAAAACAATCTTTTCAAAAAAGTTTTAGATTGTATATTTTATTTTTAACTATTCGTATTCCAGCTTATTTATTAAAGATTGAAAAAAATTATTCATTTAATGTTTAAATCAAAAACAAAGGATTTATTTTAATGGAAAGAATTTTATTTTATAATTTTATTTTATTTTAATTATTAATGCAAAAACTTTTACTAGTAAAATTATACATAATTATTACAGTTATAAATACATAATTATTACAGTTATAAATACATAACTATTACAGTTATAATTAATTGAAAAAAAATTTGTAAACAAACAGATTTATATCAATAATTATAAAGATAAATATAACTACAACAGACTATATACGTAATAATTATATTTATTGTTTACTCATAAAGTAACAGTTTTTTTTCAACTTCTATTTTTATATACTTTCTTTTTGAAGAAACAACAAATAAACAAAAAAATGGGGTTCGAACTAAGTCTACATAAAAGATTTACAATACAATAGCAAACTTTATGAATTCATAAAATAAATTTATTTTGCTCAGTTTTAATTAATAAATCAACAACACATTAATAATTTTTACAATTTTTCTTTTTTAAACTGATTTTTCGAATGATTTTTTATTGATTTATGATAAGTAATCAAAGATATTTTATACAAATAAACTTAGTATTTTAATTTTTTTAAATAATCTATAATTAACTAATAACTAATATAATTAACTAATAACTAATAAACAAAAAATTCATAATATTATTTTTATCACAAATATGTTTTCTATACTTTCTAAACTATTTAAAAAGTGCTTATCAGAGTCTTGTTATCCAGTCTGCTGGAAAGCGGCATCTGTTATCCTTATTTTCAAAAATTCTGGAGACCAATCTGATTTATCTAACTACAGTTCCACTAGTCTTCTTACTATCCTAAGCAAAATTTTTGAGCCTTTAATTAACAAACACTTAATCTCTCATCTTGAATCTAGTAACTCTCTGATCATAAATATTGATTTCGATCTTCTCTTTTTACTGCTGATTTGTTAATAGTAATAACTGATAGGTTTTATTATGCATTAGATAGATGTGGAGAGGCGAAGGCTATCACTCTCAACATTTTTAAAGTCTTTGATAAAGTTTGGCATGTTGGTCTTCTCCATAAGCTCTCTTTTTACGGTGTATCAGGTAACACTATTAAGATTATTGAATCTTTCCTTACCAATCGTAATATAAAAGTTGCCTCGATAGACAGCATTCTTCTTCATATCCTGTAACTTTAGGGGTTCGTCAAGGTTCTATCCTTGGCCCTACACTTTTTTAAATTACATTAGAGATTTTCCTGAAATTCTCATATCTAAGGTGACATTGTTCCCTGATGACTACCATTTATTCCTGTTTTGATAAGAAACCAACACTCTCTCATTGCTTAAAGGGTGCATTTGAGTTTGAAAAGGATCTTATTTCAGCTACAGTATGGGGCTCTCAGTGGCTGGTGAACTTTAAATCAGATAAAACTCATTTTTTGTGTGGCTATAATAGTTATCACAACAATCTAGATCTTCCTACATTTATGTATTATCTACCCTTCGTATTTTAAGATTAACTCTTATTTCCGATCTTTCTTGGAAACCATATATCAAATCAATTGCAAAATTAGCATCTGCTAAGTTTCTCTTTTAGACAAGGTGCAAAAATGCATTGTAAAGATAGTTAGACCTGAACTTACAGCCAACCTACAACCATTATCACATCATTGTAATGTTGATTCTCTTTCTCTTTTCTATAAATACTATATTGAGTGCTGCTCAAAAAAGCTAGCATCTAGCATTTTGTGACATCTACTAAAATTCATTCTCGAGTTACTCGTCATTTAATTAATTTTCATTGTTTTACTGTGATTGTTCCTAAGTGCTCCAAAAATTCTTATTTATCTAGTTTTTTTCCTTAGACATCAGTTCTTTGGAATTCGCTTCCTTCATCTTGCTTTCCTGATTCATATAATTTGCCATCTTTTAAGTCATCTGTGAACCATTATCTTGCTTTATAAACATTTCTCTTCCAGTAACTTCCAACTCTAATAGTGGTTGCTTGCAGCCTTGTCAGAAGTGAAGATGTTAAAAAAAAAATGTTATTACAATTCTTATTAAAAAGATTTCTTTTTGAAAGAAATGTTTTAAAAAATAATTCAAATTTTTTATGTCTATTTAAAAGTAATGTTTTCATTATTTACTTGTTTTATTAAGAACCTTAGCATAAAAAAAAAATCTCAAAGAGTGATGTGAGGTCACAATATTGACAAGATAATAAAAAAAATCTTACAGAGTGATGCAAGATCAGAATATTGACTAGATAATAAAAACAAATCAACAGCAATCTGCTCTCCAGCACAGTCCAATGAAAACCTCTTGTAAAAATCAGTAGATGGGTTTAAGAACTGGGTGTCTTTACTATCAGAGGACATGGATGCTAATTCTCGTGGAACTAATTTTCCTGGACCAATGTTAGGTAAGCATGTTTGAAATAATGTAATTCTTCCTCCAGTAGCAGACTTAAAAAAAAGTATTATTTGTTAAATTATTGATCAAATTATTGATATAATATTAAAATATATATATATATATTTAATTTTAATTTATAAAATCAAATATATATAAATAAATTTCTTGAGCAACATAATAGCAATAAATGTAAAAATATTTTAAAGAAAAACACATTATTTTTCAACCTTGACATGTTTCGTGGTTTGCATAATACATGTTTAAAAGATAAAATTACAATTAAAACTCTGGAATATAAAATCAAAATTTGAAGACATTACAGAGAATTGTTAACAATTTTATTTGTCCATTAATAATTCTCTGTAATGTTTACAAATTTCGATTTTATATTCCAGACTTTTAATTGTGATTTTATCTTTTGAAAATGTAGTGTGTAGATTACAAAATATGTCAAGATTTAGAAATATTTCTTAAAAATATTTTCATATATATATATATATATATATATATATATATATATATATATATATATATATATATATATATATATATATATATATATATATATATATATATATATATATATATATATATATATATGTATATATATATATATATATATATATATATATATATATATATATATATATATATATATATATATATATATATATATATATATATATATATATATATATATATATAAAATTCTAATTTATTATTTAAAAAAAACAACTCATTTTTAACATTTTAATTTATTGTTAAGTAATAAATTAAAGTTAGCTAAGAACACAAGTTAAAGGGCAGATATGAACTATCTATAAATATGAACAAACAAAAATTACAAATACAAATTAATTCAACTCACTATCAAGCTCTTTGCTGCATTTATTGCTGCACCTGTTGCAGAGTGGGTGTCATAAACTTTTTCAAAAGAAGTTGGTAATGTAGTTAGCAATTGTAAAATCATCTAATCCGTAACATTAATTTTTTTAAATAATTGAGTAATAAAATAATATAGTATTTTTTTAAATAAAAAAATTTAAAAGAATAATATGAAATAATAAAAACTCTATAATAATATAACCTCTTTGTTTTCTTTTAAATTGACCATGAGACCATCTGGAACAGGTAAAAAAATTTCTAAAAAAACTTTATTTTATTAATATATATTAAAATGACAAAATAACTCTTTAAATTAAACGTGCAGCTATTAGCAAACGCTGATTAAAGGCTGCATAAAAATTTAAAAGAAATTTTAAAATTGGTAACCCAAACTAAAGTGGTTTTACAAATTATTGCTAAAAACCATTTAACTTAGAATTTTGTCGCCACAAACTAAATGATAGTTAAAGGGTTCAAAGCTAACTTTACCATGTTTTAAAAAAACAAAACTGGAATGTGAAAGAAAAAAAAATACGGTAAAGGTACCTAAATTACTTGGTGGGTGATCTCTAAAACCATGACCTGAAAGTGAATTAAAACGCTTCCAAAAAGCGTTTATATTTAAATATGTTTTTAAAAATTTTGCATCCATATTAAAACGAGGACATTTGTATATAATGTTAGTGGTTTTTTTTAAACCAACTTCATCAAACATATTTTTTGCTTAATCCAACTTTTTTTTCAAAATTACATCTATCATTGTGCTAACATTTAACAAATATTACTAAAATGTATTTTGGCTCTTAAAAGTAATAACCATACAAATTTTTAAAGTATTTTGAACATTTTACGCTTATAGAAAAAAATTATACCTAATGGAAAGAAGCTTAAAAATTATACAAAATGTATTCTATACACTTTTTTTTTTGAAACTTTATGCAATGTTAGACTAAAAATTAAAAGTAGATTGTCAATATGACCAGCTTAACTTGATAGTTATTGTTTTCTTTTGAATAATCAGTTAAAAAATATTATGTGTTTTATACTTTTATAAAAGTTAACTTTGTAAATAAAAAATGTTTTAAAATTAACTCCCCTTTTTAAATTACCCATCAAAACAATGAAAATAATTTTAGATGTTTAACTTTTTTCTAAATCTAACTTTCTAAAGTTAACTTGTTTAAATTTTTATATAATACCAGAAAATTCAGAAGCAAGAATTTAGAAAATTTTAAGTTCTTCATAATTAATTTTTATATAATATATTAGGTCTTATAAAACCCATTATATATATTTTATTTATTATATAAACTTAATAATTATTACCATCTAAATCAGATACAACATACATTTGAGGTTGGCTTTGTGACAACTAAAAAAAATTATAAAAGTTGTTGTAGTTATAGATTCAAAATTATAACTTTGTACGAATAAAATATTTCCATATATTTTCAAATATTTAAGCATTTAAAAAAATATTAAATATGAGAATTTGTAAATCAAATTTAATTTTTTAAACTTGAAAACTAATGCCTACTTTTAAACTATAAAAATGAATAACACTATTAAATGTTATAAAACCAATCATGGTCCTCGAATCACCAGGTAGTGCATCAAGATTTTGAATTAATACATCACATGAATGTTTTAAATAGCCTAAATTTAAGAATTAAAAATATTTCAAATACCATTTAAATAAAAATAATAATTTTAACATGAACAATAATTTTGAAAATACTAACCTGTGGATAAAGCATTGTGAGATACATCAAAAACAAAAATAAAAATTGAAGGTTGTGGTGGACGCAACTAAAATAATGAAAAATATCATTATTATGTATTCAAAATACTAAACTACATTAAAATTTATATAGTTACCAGGGCTTAGAGTGGACATATTTTTTTTCTTAAAATTATTGATTATTCATCACATTAAATTTTATTTATCACATTCAAAGAAACCTAAAGGTGAAAACAGGTGAATATTTAACATTTTCAAATTGACATTTGAAACTTTTCAATGAATGTTGTACTTTGATTAACTTTTCAATGAATGTTGTACTTTGATTAACTTTTCAAAAAAGATTGCTTATCTTCATTCATTGGATTTTTAGATTTTAGATACTTTTTTTCAACACAAATTGTTGTAGTTTTTTGTAAGTGTTTTATTTTAATATATAAAAAATTACTTTGTTGCACTTGTTTTTTGTCTTTTTTTGAATTATGGTCAATTACAAGCTTGCTATTTAAAAAAATTGAGAAATGTAATTTCATTATTTTTATAAAAGTAATAATGTTTATATATAATGTTATGTGTAATATTTTAGATTACCAATAAAGTTTGTTGCCTATGTGGTTTGTTTTTTTTTAATTTTCATTAACTTCCGAAAATTTTCATATATTTGCCATCTCAAAACTTGGAATCATTCTTAACACCAACAATGTAGAAAAGCTTGTTTATATTATCTTATCCTAAAGTACAAAAATAAAAAAAATTTAAATAATAAGTTAAAGTTTAATGTTTTAACACATATTATACTCTGTAATTTATTAAAAATCAATGTACTTTGCATTTTGGAAATATTATTCAATGCATGATAGTTTGGCAAATACATGACGAGTCAGTTAAATTCAATATTCAAGTCTGAACTTGGTTTTCAGCTAAATGCAGTTTTTAAGCCCAAATTGGATTTTTAGTTAAATTTGGTAAATAAGTCCAAATTCAAAATTTAAAAGCAAAATTTAAAATTTCTCCCTGTAATTTTATTTTATGTAAGTATACAGAAAAGTAGCTGGAGTTTTGAGTTTAGAAAAATTTATTAAATTACTTTCAATGTTGATAGTTATTTAAAAGATTTTTTTATTAATTAAATTATTTAATAAAATAACTTACTAGTTACTTAATGAAAAAATTATATGCAATCACACTTGTATTTTTTACTACTTTACTTGATTTTAAACAGCTTGATTCAAAAAATGTTACTTTAAAAGTATTTATTAAAACCAAGTTATTTTTTTTAACTAAATTTACATTGATTTGTGGAGTTGTATACATTTCGCGCCCAACTGTAAATTGCAATTTCATAACAACAAAGGTCTTTGGTTTTGTTGATGTTGACATTAAAAGTTGATATGTCAATTTTAAATGAGACATTACAAACATGAAATATTAACAAAATCAAAAATTTGCTATTTACGTAAATATAGACATGAGTTTTTTTTAATTTAGTTAGACTTAAAAGAAATAAAAAAGTTTTAACTTATAAATTTAACTACTAACTCAATTTCAATGACAAAAAATCTTAAATAATAGAAGTTTTAAATAACTTTTCAATATAATGATTCCTCCATTTCTATCCCTCTACCTTAATGAGCAAAAAATTGCAGAACATCAAAAACTAGAGGTGGTTGTGATGAAAAATAGTTAATTTTTTATTTTTTTGAACAACTTCTACTATAAAGTTTATAAAAATTTAGCCTAACAAAACTAAACCCTAAATTTGCAGTTTCTGAAACCTAATCTGCTTTTATTGCAGTATTGCTTGCAGATGCAGCAAACTCTGCTTTATTAAGACATTGGTCTTTTGTGCCATGTAAGGCTTACTTAAGTGATTAGTAATGTCGACCAGATAAATATTAAATCAATCAGCCTTCTTGCTGCAACAAGCAAGAAGATATCAAAGCTGTAATTATTTCATCTAAAAACCCTTAGATATTCATGGTTAAATATTTTGCATAAGCTTTTGAAAACGCATAGTTAAATAAGTTGACTTTTAAAATACTATATGTGCAATAGGGTACATTGCTAAAATCATTTTGATTAAAATAATACGACCTACTGATATTCCTATGTAAAATTAAATTTTAATTTGAGTTTCTTTTTTGTGTTTTTTAATTTGAAAATGTTTTGGTAGGGCAATTGAGACTTTTAGTTGTGCATTTTATAGTTTATTGTAAATAATTACCTGTTTTTTGAGAATGTGTTGTAATAACTGTATAATTCTCAAGGTGAGTAATACCTTGAAAAATTAATACTAGTTATCAAAATATCATAAAGTTTGTTTTTATAATGCGTATTATGCATACTCAACGATTATGCATATTAAACATATGTGTTAAAATAAATTATGAGATAAAATTATTTGGTTATTATTTTGACCTTGTAGTTGATGTTTTATCATTTTCGGGGCTTAATGATAAGACTAATTTTGTCTTCTTCTAGCCCAAGTCATGTATATTTTTCTTTTATAAACTACGATTGTAAATTTTTATTTTTGGCAAATACATAGATACATTATTATCTTGAATATACGTGCTTTTGTTAAGGAAAGATATTTTTAAAACAAAGAAACGAAAGAAGCAGGTTTTTATTCAGTTTATATACCTTATATATTTTAGGGACTTCAAATTTTCTTTGTTTATATACTAAAAACTTTAACATAAAAAAGACTCTAATCACAAATACTTTTTAATAATGTGTATTATTTTTTTATTTCTAATAACAGTACTAACAATGAGTAATTATACATCGAATGTGAAAACTAGACATAGTTTAGCAACTAAATTGTCTAATTTTGTTGGAAAAGGTAAAGAGTTTGTTTTGTCGGAGGAACCCACAGAAAGATCAGTAATTCAAATGGGTATTCTTCTAAAGGTTAGTTTTTATTTTATTTTTTAACTTCTAAAATATTTTTAAAAGTTATTATATCAAAAATATATATTGACTTTATATAAATTATTTGTGATAAATAACTAAATCTATATCTACCTTTTAGGAAAAAAAGAAAAAAAAGGAATTTGAATGTAGAAAACATAATTTTGTTACAAAAGAACTAAGCAGAGAACTTGCTAAACTGGTGACATCACAATTGTTCAAAGCAAATAGTCTGTTTAAACCACCAGTTACAATTTCGGAAAAATCACTCGCGGAAAAAATAGGGAGACTATGGTTTAAAATATCCAAGTTATCAAAAAACCCAAAACCATCTAAAGAAGCAACCAACAAAACAACTAATGACTTTGATAGTCTCTTTGATATCATATCATGTACTCATACAATCATTATATGCACAGAGGCAGCATTATTTTGCAATGATCCCGAAAACTGCAAATTAGGTGCACATGTTTATTGTTCATGCCCTCTATTACAAAAAGTTTCTGTACTTGATCTTCTTTGGGTTCGTAATCAGAGGCTTAAAAAGAAAGAGATTTCTAGTATGCAAATTGGTTTATTTGATTATAAAGAATCGGTTCGCCTACAGAGAAGAGAAAAAGGGAAAAACATTCATGAAGAAGCTGAAAGAAAAAAGAAAAAAAAAGAAAATGAAAGAAAATATGAGTTTGATAAATTTCAAGTTAGTTAAATTACCATGAATATAATTCTTTAATTGTTTTAAAACATTTCTTACTGCAATCTAAAAAGACTTTAAAACTAACTTTTTAATGTTTAATATATATTAAACTTTTTTAAATTTAAAATTTATATATTCTATTATATATTATTACTTACCAATATTGGTAAGTAATAATATTATATTATAGAAACTGCATGTTTAGAATCCTGAACTAGTTTTCAATCTGCTGGAAGAAAACAACAATGGTATTAATGATACTGATGATACATACAATGTAAAAACTAAAAAATGAAACAAAAACTTTGGTCAACAAGTTGCTTGAAGAAAAAACTAGGAAGATTGGCATCACTGGTTACAAGAGGACGGACCAAAACACATCTAGCTTAAACTTAAAATTCTTAAGACACTCCCAGTCAATGTGGCGAATTTTATTACACCTTATATACAAACTGGGGCTTAGTACAGCCATAGTGAGTGTATTCTGGTTTCACTCTTGACTAGCTCTAATAAAAATGAAAGAAAATTTGGTGTTGATAAGGTTTTACAAATTAGAGGAAATAATGAGCTTGGAGACACTGCTGTTCAAAAAAGAATATCTCTGAAAATTAACCTTGAATTTCTTCAAGAATTAATTTCTTGGAATGTAAAAGATTGTTATAGACCAATATTTACATGTAATCTTTCTAAAGTGGAGATCTTCAAATTCATTGAAAATCCATTGAAAATTTTCTAAATTCAGTATTCAAACTCAAGCAACAGAACGCTGGAACAAAAGCGTGACGGAAGCATCTGCCATTGTTTACAACCAAGAAAGAAGAGATGGATTTGTTAGAACAAGAATGATACACAGGGAAGAAATTCCCACCTTTAAATCAAAGATGTTCTTGAAATAATTTAACTAAGAAAAAAAACAAAATTGTATATTTTGTATTTTTTTCATTTTTTATTCAAAACTTAAACCTGTAAAACTTGAAAACCGCTTTCAAATGAGAAGTACTTTTTTTAATAAAAAATTCAACAAAAAATAGTTTTGATAATAGTTTTAAACCTTTTAGCAAATTAAAAAATATGAGGTTGAGTAATTTTAAGATTAAAGTTTTTTTCCCCTACATTAGGGATGATGACATAAATTCATTTGTTCAGAGGTAGGCCAGGGGGTTTGGGAGGGGGAGGGTGTTCCTAGGCTCTTATCATTAAGAAAGTTTAATCAGTTTCTGACAAAACAATGCTATTTGACATAAGTATAAAAATAAAATAATTTAGAGTTTACAATTTTCTAAAAAAATTGAAAATGTTATAAATATGAAAAATGATATATTGCATATCTAAAAGTATCAATTGTACTACCAAAACGTTTTCAAATTAAAAAACACTAAAATGAAACTCAAATTAAAATTTAATTTTACATAAGAATATGAGTATGCGCTTCGAAAAATAGTAATTTTAATATTATGGTACTAGGCGATGCACCCTAATGAGCAATGCCATTTTTATAAAAATGCTTAAAACAAGCTTTTTATACAATTTTCAGTGTATAAAACATTTGTAGTTGTTGATCCACATGATTAACAAATCCTATATGGACTTTGTAATCTTTGACTATCTTTGGCTTTTGAAGAGTTTACTCTAGAGCACTTTCTATTGTAAACTGGTGGAATATGGAGAGTATGTAGATAATTTTGTGTTCGCTTCTTTATACCTGTTAGCCTTATATTTCACACCCTTTGGATAGTACTAATACTCTGTGAATAATAATAACAGCCTGTGAATAGTACTAACAAAACGAACTTCAGTTTTTGAAAATAAGCTGATTTTTCACAACACTACAAAATATTGATGAAATAATAGTATTGAAAATATTGAGAGAGCTAAGTTTATGTAACCAGCTATGGTTATCATAATTTTAATCATATGCTAAGTCCTCACTGTCATTAAAATATAGTTATTTAAAAATGAAATTGAATCAGATTAGATGCATCATCTGATAAAAATAGTAGAGTACGCCATTTTTCCAATACAGATTTATTGAGGGCTTACAAACAATACCCATGAGTACTGCTAAACCAATAAATAATTATATTTCATCAATTGTAACTGGTTACTATTCTACAGTTTTGCTAATGAAAGTGACAAAAAACTATTTATTAAAACTGTTAATTTCAGTAATAGTAACCCAAAAATTTTCATAAAATAGAATTTGAAAAAACTGAGTTGATTGCATTTGGTCCCATCCATTTCTGTACACCTTCAGTTTCTGTAAAACTCACTTAAATAACTGTAAAAGTCACTTAAAATAACAATACCATATTTATCTCCTACAAAGAGAACTAGGCCTTGCACTGCAAACATTGGCAAAATTAGCACACATGCCACAACCATCTTGCCTTAATCTATGCCTCCTTCCACAACTACCTTATTACCATTGACTCTGACTGCATGTCTTCATCTTCTATCAACTCGAGTTCTAATACCATGTCTACTTCTACAACAAATAAAAAAACCAATTACCAACAGAATCAGCTTGACAGAAATATTTTAATTAGAGGGTTGTCATAAACTTTATTTTCTGATTTTTCTAAATTGAATTTATTTGCTTGCTATTCTTTATTAGTTGATAATTATCCATTAAAAAAACATTGATTCTACAGGATTAACAGTAATAATAAAAAAAAAATAAAAAAAAAAGGTTCACAAAGATAAACAATATATCAAATATAATATATACCATATTTTCATATATAAAGAATACAGAGACAAAAGGAAAATAAATTAAAGACAGAAAAAGAAACTTTTAATAAAGCATACCATATATTCAGAAGGTGCAATGAACTCTATGGAAGCACAGTTTAATTCAGGACGTCTACGAATGTCATTATACTGACCAGTTGCTACATCATAATTTAATTCATCTGGTACTACAAATATAAATTATTTTAAAATAATGTGTAACTTATGCGTTTTATTAGGCAAGTAATTTCAAATGCCAATTATATTATCACATAACATTAAAATTAACACAATGCTTGCAGGTACATTTCACAGTGGCTTTACAAGAATAAATGAAAGGTTAATTTTAAATTTAAACTGATTTTTTTAAGCACTAAAATACAGATGAAAAATAGAAATACAAACCATGTTCTTACACTAACTCGTACTAATATGGAACAAGTACTTAAGAAACAATCTTCAGAAAACCTACTTATATGTGTTCCATGCTCAAGCATTAATCTTTAGAAAACATACTAATATCCTGTGTCCTGCATGCAATGTGTTAAAAATATTAAGGACTAAAAAAAGTTTTTTTGTTTTGTTTTATTTTTATTTCATATATAAAGAAAATAAAACATACTGTCATTCAATCGAAAACACATGTTGCATTGCCATCTTCTATGATCTGGTATTGAAACAAATGGATTCAAATAAGATCTACAAGACCTGCATCTTGTTATAACAGATGAAACTATAGGCATATCCTAAAGTTAACTCATAAAATTACATTCCAGTAGATGCTTTCATAAAGTTATTATCAACTTTTAACTATAAACATTTTAACATGACTGAAGTCATTTTAAAACTTTTGATGGTTATTTAATTGTAATAAACAAGTTGCAAATTTAGTAATGTTAATAAAAGTAACTAAATTAAATTTGATAATTGGTAACTGACCAGGTCTTATTTTAGGTGAAGTTAGGGCTACGTTTGACTTAATGGATTTCTAAGGAGGTGCAAAATTTATAACTCTTTATATAATTTGTAAGTATTTTAAATGGAAAAAAAAGTTATCAACAAAAAATTTTTAACCATTTATTTTACACCTATAATTTGTTACAAATCACTAATCAGCTGAAAACTTGATTTGCAATAAATCATTATTCAACTGAAAACTTTTTAATAATCATCATGTAAAGAGAGTTGTTCTTTAAAAACAATAATACTAATAAATACATTAAGCTTAAAAGAAAATACTTTAATTAAAGCAAAAATATTTTTTTTTACAAACAAACTCTTTAGTTACTAAATCTATTGAATTGCTTGGAATGATAATATATTCCCTTGCTCACATACTAACTGCACAAAGAAGTTAATAAACTCTTAAAACATCCCTATACAAGTTTTGAAATATTTTCTATAGAAACAGTATGTAGAAAGTATTGCAAATAAAAGTTAGAGTTTGAAAGTTAGCTTTCCAGTAAGGGATAGTGAGGAAAAATGATGACACATGAGAAACAGGTCACCTATATAAAATCAAACCTGCTGAATAAAAACATTTTAAAACTTAATCAATTGACAGTTTGCTCCATTTCTGAATACTTTATTTGAAAATTACCAAGACCCTTATGTCCAAGGTGACCAAGAAAGAGGTGCAAAAGTGCGAAAAAAATTCAAAAATTAAATAAAACCAATGACTTTTCAGTTACTTTCAAACCAAAGTTCATCTGTTTTTTATACAGAAAACTGGAGATACCAAAAATTTACCAAAAAGTTAACACCCTAATATGTATACACTTAAAGGTATTTACTTGCAAAACTAAGTCATAGCAATGTTTCTCTCTTTATATATGTATACAGTCAAAGGTATTTACTGGCAAAACTCAGCTATAACAATGTTTCTGTTACAGTATTTACAGTAAAAATAAATATTTTCTTTTTAAAAATTAATTTAATAAAGATTTTATATATTACAAAACAGGATTGTAAAATGCAACCCTGTTTTATTCAGTAGTACCTCACAAGTGACTGGAAATGGAAATGTCCATCCGAAAACGTTGTTCATCAAGAACAACATTAATACTGAGATTAGAAAAAAAATGATTCAATAATTTAACCTATGAATATAGTTTTTTGATATGTCAATAATCAATCAAGAGCCTTTGCCATAAAATGCACAACAGAACCTTACTTTTATAGCAGTTAACAAGTCAGCAGTAGAAAAAATTAGAATAGAAAAAAGATTCTTTGTTAGACTCAAAAACCGTGTTAGAAAAATAGGCAATAGTTAAAAGAGTTTTTTCCAAAGTTTTTAAAAATTGGAACTATAGATGTAAACAGGAAAAACAAGATTCAGTTAAGCACTTGTTAAATAGTTTAGAAGGTAATGATATACATAATAATAATGGTAGGTTCTAAAGAACACTTATGTAAGATTATGTTGGAAAACTTATGTAAGATTATGTTGGAAAACTTATGTAAGATTATTTTGGAAAACTTATGTAAGATTATGTTGGAAAACTTATGTAAGATTATGTTGGAAAACTTATGTAAGATTATGTTGGAAAAATTATGTAAGATTATGTTGAAAAACTTATGTAAGATTATGTTGGAAAACTTATGTAAGACTATGTTGGAAAACTTATGTAAGATTATGTTGGAAATGTTGTCCAGATAAGTAGCTGTAGAGGAGTTAAAGTGAGAACTCAAGCAACAGAAGCTGGAATGATTTAGATGAAAAGGCAGGAGGTATTTCAAGTCAGAGTTAACCTCTCCTAGCCTTTGCATAAAAAATGAATCCTACAAGGCAGCAGAATATAAATCAGGTTGTACTAGATTATGTTGCATGTAGTCTGGTGATAATGATGATCCTAATCCTGACCTTACCTGATGATTACTGAACATATTACTGGAGCGAATAACTGCAAAATATTACTAAAGCAAACTACTGCAGCATATTACTTGAACAAACTACTTTAAAAAATTACTGAAACATTTTAGTCAAAAAAGTTACTGAGAAATAACATGACATAATGAGACATAACTGAAACAACATATTACTAGAACAAGTCACTGAGATATAACATGACATAATAATTCATAAATTGAACAACATATTATTAGAACAAGTTACTTAGACAAACATAACATAACCAGACAAAAATAGAACAAGGTACTGAGACATTCTACTGGAACAACATGTTATTAGAACAAATTATTACTGGAACAGAACTTCCACCTTTTCAATTTTAATCATTTTGATTGCAACCTTATTTTAATTAATAAAAAAAAAAGGTGCAAAGTATTAAAAAACAACGCTAGAAAATTGTTAATGTTTTCCAAAAAAATGTACTGCAATTTGTTGCTATTTGGTACGTGGTAACTAAATCTATTACTATAGATTCATAGTTATAGATTTATGTTAGAGGCTATAATCATCACATACCATTCTTGATGCTATCATTGGATTATTTAACATTCAAAATACATTTTTTTTTATTAACTGGCACTTAATTTATAAATGTTAATATAAAAACATCACTGTTAATTGAAACGCAAAGAAGTTCAATCGTACATTGTTATACTATATTTGTTCAATCAAAATTCTTACTGTGCCTTCCTTAAACGGATGAATATGAATACCAAATGGAAGTTTACATTGCTTTTGCAGAGAAGATGTTTGAGGAATTGCATTAAATGTACATCTCAATATGCTGTAATGAGGAATTACAATATAAAAAGTAATTTTATAACCAAGATAAAAAAAGATTTTAAAAAATAAAGAAAAAAAAAACTAACTTTGGATTAGCATTTTTCTTTATTAATTCCTACAATGACATAATAGAAAAAAAGTTTATAAATTATACAACTTTTTTTTATACAAAAAAATCTTTAAGAAAATATAACATACTGGTGCAATAGGAGGTTTTGGAGGAGAAAAGGGTTTTGGTGTTATTACTTGACGTTGTTCTAAAAGATTCACGGGATACGTAGGTGATTGCTAAAATTAAAAAAAGATTTGACATTTATTTTTGAAAACAAAATAAAATTTGAAAAAAAAGATTTAAAAAATAACCTCAACAGTTAGCCTGCTCATCAATGTATTGACTTGATTTAAATTTTTTGCCTATAGAAAAGACTGTTTGTTATTACAGATAAAAATAAATAAAAAAATAATAATCAATCAATAAATGACATACATTTGGAGATTGATTCATTTTGTTGGAATCATTTTGCTTTGTCAGTGGCGAACCTTTTGATAAGTTAAAATTTTGACCTGGCTGATTATTGTATATGTTAGGTTTAAGATGCCCATGCAAACTTTGTACATTGGTAGCAGCCTGAGAAATATAAAAGTATGAACTCAAAAAATTAATTTACATTTAAGGCATGTAATCTACTCAGTTATAATCAAACAATATTGTTGTTTATTTTTTAATGTTCATTCTTGAAAATCTTTTTAAACTTATGGACTGATCCAATTTCAATTGAAAATTTAAATTCTCACTCAAAGAATAATATTAAAAATTGATATATAGAAGTAAAAGTAATTTTAGTCAATTTATTACTTCAAAATAAACTTAATTGTAGAAAATAATTTATACATTATAAAATAAAAATAAACATTAAAAATTATAAACTTTTGAAGACTATCAGCTTGTGTACAACCCCTTTTAAATAATGATTTTTCGTTATATAATTTAGAACTTAGAGGTATGCTTAAACTTGACTAAGAATTTTTGGCTGTTGCTAGAAAAACTTTTTCTAAAGTTTCATTTAGTTGTTCACGAATAGTTTTTACGAATAATTTTCATGAATAGTTTTTGGTATTTCATTATTTTTTGCAAAATCTTTTTCACTTGACATATCTTTAGCATATTCAACATGTTCAAGGTCTTTCTATGACATATCTTTAACGTATTCAACATGTCAAAATGTCCAAGGTCTTTCTATTGCGATTCAAACTTGTGACATTAAGCCTATTTAAAAGATACAACATTACTTTTTTATCTTTAAAATTTGAAGATGTTTTAAAATGATTTAGCTGTGGACTTTTTTTTTTTTTTTTTTTTTTGTACATATTTTATTAAACAACTTAATTCTTTATTATTATTATTATTATTATTATTATTATTATTATTATTATTATTATTATTATTTTAATGTAAATTCACCTCTCAAGGCCAAGAAGACCACTACAGACAATGAGGCTACTTAATTGTGGTTATAACCCTCTCTCAACTCTATAACTCCAAAACACAAACTTTGACAAACAAGGCCGCTGCACGGAGACACAAATTGATTACAAATGCTAAGTAGTTATAAAGTAACTTTCACTTCTATCAACATTGTTATCTGATTCACAGCTTTCAATAAATTTAAATTCATTTTACAAACTTTTTATGGTATCATTAACTTACTGTACTAATTGTTTCTGAGTACAAATTAAAGTTGAGGTATTATATAAAACTGAAATAATAGCCTGTTCAATATCACGAGTAAAGGATAGCTGTTGATTAATTTATAATAGTTCTATAATTTTTTTCATGATGCTGGTACCATCTGTCATCATACTATTTTCAAGATTTAAACTTTATACACTTTATACAAAAAAAATTTCGAAAACACTTTTCAAATGGCATTGTTCCTACAATACTTCCTTAAGCCCAAATTCAAAAAATTCTCTCTACCATGTAAATTTAAATAAAATGTATTTTGTAACAACAACTTAGTATTTTGTAACAACAACTTAGTTCCACTGTCATTTTAATTGAAATTTATTTCTCAAATCATCTTTTTTATTGCTTGCAAAATTTACCACTTTTTTACAGTATTAATTAATTTAGGTGTATTAGCAAATTGCCTCATAGCTAGTCCAGCACATATATCAATAGAAGTGTATATATGATAAAATATATCTTATCTTTAGTTGTCATATTCAAGCACTTCAGATGAATTATCATCTTTATTCATATTTAATGTAAAATGTAAACTACATTTACTTTTTTTACTCTGTGGTTTTTTTCAATACTAGAGAATGCGCTAACTCTGTTTTAAATTCTTTATGTTTTAAAATTATTTTAAGTGATTGAAATAGATGCGTATGAAGTCCCTTTGTTGATTGTTCAGTAATTTTCAATACTTTTTTGCAATGGCTTAGTTTTCTACTTACATTTCTTCTTCACTTTTTTTTTTGAAAATGTTTCTATATGTGGTTGTGCTATTATATATATATATATATATATATATATATATATATATATATATATATATATATATATATATATATATATATATATATATATATATATATGTATATATATATATATAATTATTCACCTCCCCAAGGCCCGAGGGGGCCACTACAGTCAAGGAGGCTACTCATTTTTCTCAACTTAATTTCTACTACTTAATTTCAACTACTCAACTTAATTTCTCAACTCAAACTCAAATTAAGTTGAGCGTGGTACTTCCAGGGACATGGTGGGAGTCAAACTCCGAACCTCTTGCTTACAAAGCGAGCGCTCTTACCACTTCTTACTTATTTCATTTTGTGTGTGTGCGTGTTATTTGGTTCTTTTTTTATTTTTATTTTTTTGTACATACATCTACTGATTTAAATAGGGAGAACATGCAGTAGAGTGTAAATATACCATCGACTGACATAATTAGGGAGAGTATGCAGAGAGTGATCTTACATCCACTTTTGGGTCTGGCCCGGCAACCTCAACACCAACCCTAATCCTTTACCTAATGTATGTACACTTCCTGCATGTTATCCCTATTTAAATCAGTCAATCTATGTCACTTCCTGCATGATCTTCCTATTCAAGTCAATCCATGTGCCTATTCATTCCGTTGCAAAAAATTATCAATTAAATACTGTTTATGTTGTAAAATGCAATTCACAAGGCAAAATGACAAAGTTTAATTAATAAAATGTTAATTCAAGTGGTAAAATACTAAAATTGAAAAAGTAAAATCTAGTTAAAAAATATCAATAAATAATAAAAAAATAAATAAAAGACAAAATAACAATTGCATGAAGGAAAATACCATAATTGATTATATTATTAATATTATTGTTGTTGTTGTTGTTGTTTTTTTATTATTATTATTAGTGCTTTGTAACCATAATTTAATTTTGATAATTAAAATCAGTTTCTTTCTAATTGTCACAATATATTTCATTGATTAGGTTAAACATACTAAAATTTGTTATAAATCAATAATAAAAACTATGTATTAATTGAACAAAGTTTTATACTGCATTGTTGATACTTATGTTTTATTTGATAAGATTTAAAAGAGTTCATCATGATTTTTTATATCTCCAAATTTCAGGGTTATTTTTAAAATAATCCTGGGATTTTAGTAGAGATGGGAAATGAACCGAATCCAAACTGAACTAGAACCTTACCTACAACTGAACCCGAACTTTACTTGTTACAAATTGAACCTGAACTTTAAAATTGCTGGGAACGAACCGAACCGAACAAAATGCCCTACTGAAAGTACCTGTCCAAGCCAAAAAAAGGTTGATAGTAGTAAAAATTTTGCAATTCACGCTACATTACGTAACATCATTCTATACTTAATGTATAACATAATGCATAACTTAATACATAACATAAGTCTACAGTACATAACATACAATACATAATACATAACATAAGTCTACAATACATAACATACAATACATAATACATAACATAAGTCTACAGTACATAACATACAATACATAATACATAACATAAGTCTATTTTGTATTGATGTATTGATATTAAGTATTGATTGTTACAATCAATACTTAACATAATAAAATACATATCAACTAAAACAGAAATATTGTTTGTAAATAATTGCAATATTGTGGCATTGATGGTTCTGAGTTTTTATTCATATTTTGTAATTAATGATTACAGTAATTACATAATTATTTAGTTACAATGAGTAAATTAACTTGTAAACAAACTAAAAAAGTGTTAGAGAAATCGATAACAGATGGAGCAGCTCATTTAATACCTGCATCATGGACAAAGATTGAATGCTGGACACCCTTCCGTTGCGTTGAAGTTGGAGGTTTGCGGCTTGACTTACTGCACATATAACAATTTAGTTTTATAAATATTTCAACTAATTAATAATGACCTGTATCTCACATGCATTGCTTAGACACAATGCCTGTCTAAGTAGCATTTAGGTTTAATAATTAACTGATTATTAAATGTATAAAAAGTCAATTAACCTTAGTTACTATATATTTTATTTAAATTTTGTGTAATTGTGAATGATCATGTTGTGATCAACAGGTTGTTAAGGAGTTGTTTGTAAACAGTGTGGATTATGGTTATCAGTGCCAATCGGTCATACTACAACTCTACAAAGACACAAAACATCACACATCAATAAGATCAACACAGAACCTGGACAATTAAAAATGACAAGCTTTTTACCTAAAAAGACAGATGCTCATGACAGCATGCGATTTATTGGAATTCTTAAAAGACAATGATTATGAACATAAACTTCCAACGATGGGATTGATTGCTAGAAAGTTGCTGGCTATTCCTGCTACAAGTACTGCCAGTGAAAGTGTTTTCAGTGTGTGGAGTGGCGTTGAGCGATTGCAGGGCTCGTCTAAACCCAATAATATCAATAATAAGGTGACTTTGTCACCTCACCTAAAGACAAAGCTGAATTGTTTGCTAAGAACTTTTCATCAATATTATCTCTTGACTCTACTACTTGCGTTCTACCTGATATAGCGGTCAAACAGGTTGATCCATTGCTCGACATCCATATCACTCCAGCTTCTGTATCTAAAGTAATTTCCTGCTTAGACTCTTCTACAGCTTGCAGCCTGGACAACATACCTGCTATAGTCTTGCAGAAGTGTTCTCCGGAGCTGTCATCTATCCTTTCAAAACTATTTAACAAATGCTTATCAGAGTCTTGTTTTCCAGCCTGCTGGAAAGCAGCATCTGTTATTGCTATTTTTAAAAATTCTGGAGAGCGATCTGATTCTTCTAACTACCGTCCCATTAGTCTTCTTCCTATTATAAGCAAGGTTTTTGAATCTTTAATTAACAAACACTTAATCTCTTATCTTGAATCTCATAACCTACTTTCTGATCATCAATATGGATTTCGATCTTCTCGTTCTACTTTTCTCTCTTTCTTTCCAATCGTAGTATAAAAGTTGTCCTTGATGGACAGCACTCTTCTTATTATTCTGTAACCTCAGGGGTTCCTCAAGGTTCAATCCTTGGCCCTATACTCTTTTTAATTTACATTAACGATCTTCCAGATAGTCTCACATCTAAGGTGGCATTGTTCGCTGATGATACTACCATTTATTCTTGTCACGATAAAAAGCCAACTCCCTCTAATTGCTTGCAGGGGGCATTTGAGCTTGAAAAGGATCTCACTTCTAAAGCATGGGGCTAACAGTGGCTGGTGAACTTTAATTCAGATAAAACTCAATTTTTTTCAGCCAATCGTTATCCTAATAGTTTAGACCTTCCTATATTTATGAACGGTAATGTACTTGATGAGTCATCTACCCTTCATCTTCTAGGATTAACCTCTCACTTCTGAATTTTCTTGGAAACCTTATATCAAATCAATTGCAAAATTAGCATCTGCTAAAGTTGCATCTCTTTATCAAGCTCGACACTTCCTTACTCTGGATTCTATTCTCTATCTCTATAAATCTCAAATCTGACCTTGTATGGAATACTGTTGCCATATCTGGGGTGGATCTTCTAATGATGCCCTTTCTCTTTTAGACAAGGTGCAAAAACGCATTGTAAATATAGTTGGACCTGCTCTTGCAGCCAACCTTCAACCTCTGTGACATCGTTGTAATGTTGCTTCTCTTTCTCTTTTCTACAAATACTATAATGGGCACTGCTCTAAGAGCTAGCGACTCTTGTGCCATCTACTAAAATTCATTCTCGTGTTACTCATCATTCAATTAAGTCTCATCCTTTTTCTGTTACTGTACCTAAGTGCTCCTAAAACTCTTATTTGTCTAGTTTTATTCCTCGAACATCAGTTCTTTGGAATTCGTTTCCTTCATCTTGCTTTCCTGATTCATATAATTTGCAAAATTTCAAGTCATCTGTCAATCGTTATCTTGCTCTATAATCTTTATCTTTTCTCTTTTAGTAACTTCCAACACTAATTAGTGGTTGCTTGCAGCCTTGTTGGAAGCGAAGATGTTAAAAAAAAAAAAAAAAAAAAAAAAAAAAAAAAAAAAAAAAAGACCCAGAAACATTAGAAATGCTGATATTTCTCAAATACAACATGCAGTCCTGAACTCAAATTTTAAAAGTAACTGAACCGAACCAGACCTGAACTTTAAAATAAGGGTTCGATCCCCATCTCTAGATTTTAAGATTTTACAATTAGGGGGAGGGGGGTTACAAACCCTAGTTTTAAACATGATTTAGCTCTTTTTTTTAAAGAATGTTTATGAACTATTTTCCAGAATAAAGTTTTCAAGTTTTTTTTTGATTCTTTAAAGGGACTACCAAGACCCGAGACATGTTGTGTTCATATTAAAGAGAATGTTAAAAAAAAAACATCTGAGCAAATTTTTTTTGATTAAAACTAATTAATAAATGTATACCAAGAAAAACAAATCTTGTTGTTTTTGTCGAAGCTCGTCTTCTCCATTTTCTGCGGTATTTGGAGTCTGTAAAATAAACGTGATTTTCCAGGCGCATTATACAGACTTGATAATTTATTCAAGTGCGTGTAATTCATAGAAGTTTTAGTACATAACGTCATTGAAAACATTCTAGAATTTCTTTAAAAATTTTACTAAAATAACTAACTATAGTTAGTTATTTTATTTTCTAAAATCTTCACATTGAAAAAAACATGTTTTTTTGTAGCTATCAGAGCCGTGGCTACATGGGCCATGACGATGGCGGACCTAGAGACCGCTATGACACCAAATCAAGTTATATAATATCTCCAATGATTCATGAGTCTGTTCTTTACATTTTGATGCAAGTTGTTTCGAAAAATCTAACGAACAATTAATTAAACCAAACACTAGAAAAAGATATAAAAAATAAGAATATACTAATAAAATATATAATTTGTAATTAACTTTCAAAATTTTGACAATTTAAAAAATATATATTATAAAACATTTATTTTTGTAAACAAATGATAATAGTTTAAAAGATTTACGGCTTTGCAGATGTGGCTCCGAGAATGAGCCATAATATTAAAGTAATAGTTCATTTGATAATATATTCTTAAAAAAATTTATGCTAGATATCTCAAAACACAACAAATCGTAAATAATACAATTCCTAAAATATTTCAACAGAATATTCTAGAACTTTATATCGCTTTGTCAGCGTATTTTTTGAACCAATAAAATTAGTTTGTTCGTAAATGTGGTGGGTTTTTAGTCTTCGCAAATATTCTTTTTATTCATCCGCAAGATGTTTTTAGAACATTCAAGTTAATTAAGTTTCCAATATATGTTTGTAAAATAAAAATTAATATATATTAATTTTTTAATTTTTAAGCCCCCGCCATAATATATATTGGATGCAGGTCTTGCGATAAAGTGTCGGGCGATGTGAATTTTACGTCGTCCGAGAGCGATTTTGCGTGTAGCTAGGGCTATTTGCGTCGAGCAAAAAATTTTTTGTTTGAGTATATTTAAAGATATTTTTAAGCGGAATTTTAATGAAGTAATTTACGATTATTTTAACATTTAATAAAGTATTTTAAAAACCGCACGCAGTTGAAATAAAAGTTTGAATTAAAAAAAATTAAATATGCTCATTATTTACAAGTAGAAAAAATTCAGATTAAAAAAAAAGTTTAAACCTTTTAAGCTAACATTTTAATAAAATTATTCAGCAATAGCAAAGTTGTCGATAAAATTGAACAAAAATACTTTCTTTTAGTTTTAGATTTTAAACTTAAATAATTATTTTACAGGGGTTTGTTAGGTTTTAAAATTATTCCATAGATTTAAAAATATTTATTAGCTGTTAGACGTATTTAAAGTATTTAAGAGTAATTTCGAGGAAACATTTTAAAAATTGGTGAGCGCAAATAAAAAAAAAAAAAGAATTAATATTAAAACGTATTCTACTTGATTCAATAAAAAAGTACAGTTATTAAAATTTTTGTAAAAAGTAACAAAAAAATTACTTAAATAATAACAATTGCTTTTTTGTTAAAGTTACCGAAACTCAACGAAGCGTGCTCAAGAACAGCTGCTGAAAAATAAAGCGTCAATAGTTTTTAGAATAATTTTTAATAATAATTTTTTCGATGAAATATTTCTTTTATACGTATAAGATTTTTTTTCTAACATTTTATTTTACTAGAAAAAAAATTCCTTGTTAACATTAAAAATCTATTCAAAACGTTCGTTTAAGTTTTTTATTAATACGAGTTATTGTGCTTATCAACCGCTTTATGAAAATAAATAAAAATAAATAAATAAATATTATATAAAATCACTTGTAAAAATATTAGCTATTGCACAGTTTTTAATCGTAATATATTAAAATTTCCAGTTTATTACTCGCTGAATTTTTAAAAAGAAAAAATAATTATTTGAAAAACTTTAAATTACATATTTAAGAAAAAAAAAAATCAAATGTTAGCATATTTTATAATCTTTTTTAAATTTAAGTTATAATGTTTTTTATTTGTTTAGTATAGACAAAACGTGACAAACGTCGAGAAAATAAATGTTTTTACATTTTAAAAAACGAAACATTCCAAAACATTTTTTAATAATAACATTTTTACATAAACGATTTAAAGTAGTTTTGCAATAATTAAATAAATTGGTGCAGTTAATGTCGATAAATATGAAAAGCAAATAAAAAGAATTTAATGACATCAAAAATCATGTCGTGCTTATGTGTCGCGCAGTTCTTATTCATCGCAAGGCCTGTGGATGTTATAATAATGGAAATATAAATAATGAAATAAGATCACCTCAATACCAAAAAATTCATTTTTAAAAACCCGAAAAAAAATGTGCTGATAATTTTTTTTTTTTAATTTACAAAGTAAGTTAATAAAAGTGCATTATTATTTAGGTTAAAAATTATTTTATCTAATATTTTGAAAGAAAAACTTATAACAAAAGAAATCAAAATACACGTAGTCTAGAGGATTATTTTAAAAAAGTTGTGCAAATAAAATACTATTTTGTTTTTAATTTTTTTACTAACACATTTTAGAACTTTAAAATATAATAAAAATTAATATGATTTGGAAATTGCATGTAAAAAATAATAATTGGTGTTTCAAACAAACACAAAAAATCTATTACATCATATACTAAAACTTCTATGAATTAAACGCACTTAAATAAATTATCAAGTGTGTATAATGCGCCTGGAAAATCGGGTTCATTTTACAGACTCCAAATACCGCAGAAAATGGAGAAGACGAGCTTCGACTAAAACAACAAGATTTGTTTTTCTTGGTATACATTTATTAATTAGTTTTAATCAAAAAAAATTTGCTCAGACGTTTTTTTTTTTAACATTCTCTTTAATATGAACACAATATGTCTTGGAACTTGGTAGTCCCTTTAAAACAAATATATTAATTTAAATCATGTTATAGAAAAGTTATAAGAATCTTACTTCTTGAGGATAAACACGTCTTTTACTTGTACCTAAACACAGTATAAAAAAGGTTCTAAAACATGAACACAAGTATTACAAGATAAAAAAGCAATAAATAGTCATAATTTTGTTACAAGGAATAAAATAGCTATCCTGAAAAGCAAATTAAACTAAATAGATGTGTTTATTTATTATTTCATTTCTTGTTTATGACTACTTGTACATCATATGCTTTACAAATTAGACAGCATATATATGCCTCAAATAAAGATGAATTATTATATGCAGTTTGTAATTAATAATAATGCAGGTCAATATACATTTATAATTACTTCAATAATTTTACTTTACACTGTAGAAAACTTTACTATATACAGTAGAAAAATTATAACTCATTAGTAAACTTACTAAATTTTAGTTAATAAACGATAATAAAATAAAAAGGTATATCAAATAAAGACTGTCTGGAATGATAATGACTCATGACATTTTAAAAAGATTTCAAGAATCACTAAATTTTTTTAATTATTTTAAAGCAAACTTATCTTCCTTTTAAATAATATAAGGGTAAATTTAAAAAGGTGATAGTAAAAAAAGAAAATGTATTACAAGCAGAACTAAGAAAATTCATTTTTTCATGAGTGGCTTAAAAATCAATAAATTCGCAAGCAAAAAAAAAGTAATAAAATAAAGTTTAAAGAAAAACTGTCAGCTAGTGGAGTGAAGATCACGGTTTAGAAAGGAAATTAAGCTCATAAGACAATCCTAGAAACCAAAAAAAGATATGCATAGGAATTTTTATACAGTTGTGAGTACTAAGTAAAATAAGAATTCCTTGAAAATTATAGTCTCTAGTTCTGAGAAAATCCAGAAATATGACCATTTTACTTTTAGCAGATACTGGCCAGGGCACTCTTCCTTAGAATCACAATGTTTATTTAGAGGTTTCAAATCACATAACTTTAAAAATATTTGATCTTTTTACTTAAAAATTTGTATCTGGCTATTTTCAGGGTTGACGAATCTAATAAAATGATCAGATATATAAAAAAAAATATTTTTAAGTACCTGTAATTATTGATTTAAACAAATTTAAGCAATTTTTTTATACCTGTTTTTAATACTCAAAAAACCCCTGTGACCTTAATGATATTAAATTTAAAAAAAAATTACACATTATTCTATATTCATTGAGATATTTAAAGGTAGTCTTCTCCATTTGACAAGCGCTTTCGCGCTCTTGTAGTTTTGCGCTTGCCCACATGCCCGCCAATACTACGCTGGCGCTTTTTGAAGCGCTCGCCAAAAAATTTCAAGCGTATTTTTAAATTGCAACAAACCTTTTTTCTTAATCAAATTCTGATTAAAGAGGCACAAAAAACAAATATTTTTTTAAATGGCGCACGCCGGACAAATAATTACAGTCTGACCAGCGCTTTTTCGTGCTCTGGCGGTAAATTTCAAACGGAGAAGACTGCAGAGGGTATATAAGGTTGGGGCACTGGGGGCCATGCTTCACTTATTTTCTCAAATATATATATATATATATATATATATATATATATATATATATATATATATATATATATATATATATATATATATATATTTAACAAAGTAAAGATAATTTTGAAAATATTGTCTAAAAATATTTTTTAATTTATGCTTGTTCCATTTGATTTTTGATCATTCTTTATTCAACAATCTTTCTTAAAATCTTTTAAAAGAGTGAAGTAAATTCCCATTAACTCGAAACTCCAAGGGACCAAAGAAAATGTTTGAATGTTCGATTTAAGCAAAGTAAAGCAACTGTTTTTGCTTTTAAGGGACTATAGAAAACAGTTTGAGATAACAAAAGTTAAAGTTAACTGGTGTTTAACTTTAACTTGAAAATTACTGAAATTAACTATACATATTAATATTAACATTTTAAAATTAACAAATAATAATTGAAATTATGACTTTAAAAGGTGATAAATTTCGTTTTCATTGATATAATGTTATGACAGGATATTTTTTTATATGTGGACTTTAGTTAATTGGACAACATTCTTAACATTTTAGCATTAAAAAACATCAACTTTTTTCAATTCACAACATACTTCCAAATCAAAACTTTTATAAACATATGAACTTTTTTAAGACATTTTAAGAAAGATGATTGAATAAAAAAACCTGAATAGAACAAGTATAAACCAAAAAAATTTTTTAAAGACAATATTTTCAAAGTTATTTAAAGTGGAAAAAAAAAAGGTTTTTTTGAGAAAATAATTGGGGCATGGCTCCATGGACGAAAAAGTTTCAGAGCTCCAGCTAGTATGAAAGGTAGTGAAAAATCAATTGCAATATATTGCTACAAAAAAGTGAGGGACATGCCCTCCCCCTGTGTCTTGGGACCTGGATACAATTAGAACATGCACAATCATTAGCACTATAGAAGTGCCAAAGGTTTCATAGCTCCAGCTAGAAAAATCAATCGCAATATTCTGCTACAAAAAAACTACAAAAAATCAATCGTAATTTCCGCTACTTGATCTGCAAGTATATGAATTTCCATATATGGAAATCCATATACTTGCAGATCAAAATCCTTATATTTTCTGAAAGATCAATGAACATAAAATGATGTGTAATATATATATATATATATATATATATATATATATATATATATATATATATATATATATATATATATATATATATTTGATATCATCAAGGCCAGATAGGTTTTTTGAGTATTAAAAACAAGTATACAAAAAATTGCCTAAATTTATTTAAATCAATAATTACAGATTTTTAAGGTACTCTTATTTTACTAAGTACTTGCAACTGTATAAAAATCAGCAAAATCTGATATTTTTTAATATTTTCCAGTCGATTGACATGGAATTACCATATACATACTATACAGGAAGCAGAAATTTATCTAAAATCAAAATTCTAGTAATCAAATAAAATGTGTAAATTAGCTATTATTAAACATAACCAAAATATTGATAGGGTTTTTTTTCAAAATTTGGCTCAATATGGCTGATTCAAGGATATCTATAAGCATTTTATCACTTGAGCAACGATTTTATTGAACAAACAACAAAAGTAGTTTTATATTAAAATATTAAGTTAAATATTTAACCATTTAAAATTAATAAAAATAAAATTAGAAAATATTATCAAAATAAAAATAGAAAAAATTTACTTGATTGAATTAAATTTTCAGACTGAGTTTGATGCTGTGTTATATTATTTGCTACATTTAAATTTTCAGTTTGATTCTGTATTGAAAAGTTAGTTGCATTTGGACTTGCTGGATGTGGTACAAATTGAGTCTGTTGGTGTACTAGTTTATTCTGTTGCAAAACTGGATGTGAATTAATTTGTGGGAGTTGAGCAATTTGAGGCGGTAAAACATTTTGTGTTTGTTGAACTGTTTGTGGTGGAGGAGCACTCTGAAAGCGTTGACCATTAGATAAATAAGTAGGTGTACCTTCAAAAGTAGGTATTGAAGAAGTTTTCATAGTTGGATTTATTCCCAGAACTGGTCTCAATTCTTGGTTAGGGTATTTTAAATGATGCCCATTAGGTATACCTAATAAATGTGAAAAAATAAAAAAATATATATATAAGCCTTCTAAGAAAAAACATGCAGTTGCACGACTGATCACACATATAATATTTTGTTTTGATAACTAGAGCATGACTCTTTGCTTTTGTTTTGAAGATTTGAAAGACCAAACTAGACTAAAAAAAAATTACATAAATAAATATATAAACTGAAAAAATAAAATAAATCTTTATTATGAAAATAAATAAAAGATTAACTTGAAACAATAAAAATATAAAAATAGCATATATTTGTTTTACTTAATAGACTTTAGAAAAGATTGAAGTTTTAAAGTTATTCCAAACTTAATTACTTAATTTTTAAACAGTTGCGCCTTAAATGTAGAACGTTAAACTATCTAAAGTGCTACACTGACACAGTGAAAAAATTATTACAGTTAAACTATTAAGCAAGACGCTTTTAAATTATAAAAATATATATTCTCTTTAAAATTTATATATATATATATATATATATATATATATATATATATATATATATATATATATATATATATATATATATATATATACATACATGTATTACACTAGCATCTGCCATTTTAAAAACAAAAATCTATTTACATTTTTTTATCATGGTTCATCATCTTTGAAAAACAGTTTTTTTTTCCTATCTATATATCATTACACTGCCAATGAATATTGCTTGTGATAAGAACTAGGTAAAGTCACTCTGAATCTTTGTACCTATCTATATCATTAGTAACTTGTTTTACTAACTTTGTTAACAGTCTTTTTTATTGCAAAATGTATACAATAGGGTTATAACATTTTCACTTTTTTTTCAATTTTAAAATGGTTGTTGCCCTACCTGATGAGAAATAGTGCAAATATGTTATAAATAGCACTGTTTTACTTACCCATGACAAAAACCACCCCCAGGATACAGATTTATATATTTCTTATACAAGCGGTGCACCAAAACCAGTATGTAGTTCACCTGTTGATAACTTTGTTTGGTCAACTTAAATACTAAATGATTTATAGATAAAAGGAATGGCTGATTTACTTACTTTCATTCTGTCTTTAAAATTTTATTTATATTAAATTATCGATCACATATTTTTTTATCTTACTACCTAAAAGTTTGCACTAACTCAAATATATTTTCACACACATTCATTAGCACTAGGGTTTGCAAAAACCCAGAATGTTTCTATTCCCGGGATTCTAGGTTGTATAATTAATTCCTGGAATTTCCGGAAAATACCAGCTTTATCTTATGCTTTAAAACTAAAAAAAAAAAAATAATTTAATTAAGTATATTGCAGTAAAATGAAATTAAACTTATACATAAACTTATTTATTTTGTCTTTAAAAAATATACTTGCAGAAAGCTTAAACTATCTAAACAATTATTACTTAAGCGACTTCTTATTTTATTGCAAAATAGTTCTGTGGAAGAAAATGCTCTTTCTGCCTCTACGCTTGTTGGTTTAATCGTCATTAAAAAATCATAAACTTTCTGAAGACTTTTTATCACCTCAAGTACAACCACTTTCAAACAATGACATTTCATTCGATAATTTAGAAGTAAGAGTTTCGCCTAATTTTAACAAAGAATTTCTGGTTTTTTTTCTAGGGCTTCATTTAGTTGCTCACTAATAGTTTTCGGCATTTCATTACTTGCGTTTTTCGGTATTTTATCATCTTCTTGACTTACTAAAAATTCAACAAGAAATTTGTAGGGTAATTTAAATTTGTTACATTTAATCTACTTAGAAGCTTTAACATCATTTTTTTATTTTTAAAATTTGAAGATGTTTTAAAAACCTTATCTATGGGCATTAATTTGTTTTCTCCGTAGATTGTGCAGTAGACTACTTAAATAAGTCCTGCTCTCTTTGATTCTGGAAGCTAATGCATTAAAAAGAAATTCAGAAACAATTTTATACTCATTATCTGACATTTTTATAGAATCATTAGTACTGATATCAACAAGCGCCTTTTTTATGCAACTTTTTAACTTTTGAAACTTTTCAGGCATTGATAGAAGGCTGCTCCATCTTGTATTACAATCTTTGATTAAATGACATTTTATATGTATTTTTGAAGACAGTCATCATTTTTAGTTGTGATCATTTAAAAACCATCATGATTTTTCTAACTTTAAAAATCATTGGACTAATCGCTTTGTTTGTAATTATTACATCTTCAATTATTTGATTATTAACTATAAAGCAACTCTCATCACCATCTTTATAGCTATCTGATTCACAGCTTTCACTAAAATCAGATTCATTTTCCAAATTTTCAGAGTGATTATCAATTTCCTCTACTAAATGTCTCTGCGTACAATTTGATGCTGACGTATTATATAAAACTGAAACAATAGCCAGTTGAATACCGTGAGCAAAGCATAACTGTTGATTAATCTGTAATAGTTTTCCAATTTTTTTTATTACTTTGCTCCATCTGTCATTATGCACATACTATTTTCAAGATTTAAACCAAACACGGAGAGTTTTTCTTTAAGCAAATTTACACACTTTTTAGCTGTCATTATCTCTACAATCCTTACTAAACCTAAATTCCAAAAATTGTCTCTATCATGAAAACTGATATTTAAATAACGGGTTTTTCAAATTGACGTCTACTCATCAAAAGAAATTAAAAACTTAGTTCCCTGTTAATTTCTTGTCTTAATTCATTTCTTATACCATTTTTTATATTGTTAAAGAAATCAAGTACCATTTTTTTAACAGTACTTGGAGATTTAGTAATGTTGACTTATCGCCTCATAGCCAGTCCAGCATGTATATCAATAGAAGTGCATATTACGTTAAAAGAAATTCCATCTTTAGCTGTTAATCTTGCAAGCACCTCAGACAAGCTTTCTTCTTTATTCATATTCGATGAAAAATATGAACTAATTTTACTTTTTTTACTCAGTGGTTCTTCTTCTGATGTCCGAAAACATGCCAGTTCTGCTTTAAATTTATTTTATGCAACTGAAGATGAGAATTTAGAGCTTTTTTTGATCCCCTCGTAATTTTCAATACTTTTTCGCAATGACTTATTTTACACATTGCTGTTTCACTTTCTTTGTTGTGCAGAAAATGTTTCCATTTTCTGCACAACAAAGAAAGTGAAACTTTCTTTGTTGGGATTTTGCTCTTGAACTCTATGAAATTTGACATAGTATCCTAATTTGATGAATCAAATAAAATATAATAATCTATTAACAATTTTAACTTTCTTATTAAGGTGAACTTTTAAAGTTCAATAAATTTAAATACACTCTATTATTACAAAAACACAATATAAATCAATACAAATAAATTTTTATTTTTTTTTCTCATTATTGTTATTATTATTTTTATTATTTATATTATTGTTATAACTTAGTTTTAATAATTAAAACTAGTTTCTTACTATTTCCTAATAAACATATTTTTCACAATATATAAGATTGATTAAACTTACATAAACTTATAAACCAATAAAAACATTTATATGACATTTTTCTAGAAAATGTCATATAAAAAGAGCAGGGAAGATGTTGAAAAAAATTGTGTTACTTGGAGAAAAAACTTGATAGCATACCAAAAGAGTGTAATAAAAAGGAAAATTTTAGCAACAGTCACTGATCCACTTAACAGCTTAACTAGAATGCCTAAAGAAACGACAATTATTGAGAGGTTTCAATTTCTTGCTCCAAATGAAAAATCTAGAAATGGAAGATTTAAAATGGTAGCAAAAAAATTGTGGGAAAAGCTAAATTTTTCATTCATAACAGTTAAGTCAACAGTGAGGAAGATTAAAGCATTAATTAATAAATATGATAAATTTTTAAAGTAACATAACAAATGTGCTCAAGTTAAATTTGCTAAAGTGTTTGATATCACCAAAACAGATGGCATCTGGTTGGCCAATGAAGATAAACAATTTTATCAAATGCAGATAATATCACATGGAGATGTTGGTTATGCAACATCAGTACAAGTAATAGTGCACCTATCAAAAGTTAGGACCAGAAGTTCCACAAGTAGTAATCTTCCTTTATTCAGCAAAAATGTTGCATCCAATCTATCAGCATCTTCAGAAACTTCTGACAATGATACTAACAATTGTGATTATACTGTTGAGTCTCCTGCCAAAGCAAGAAAAATTAAATCATATTCCACTATAAAAACTGCACTTCAACTAGTAAAACAGACTAATCTAAGTTCTTCTAGGTCAGTAAAAGTTTGCAAACAACTATCAGACAATGGTATTGACATTCCTACACCAACTCAATCTACCATATATCAAGCATCTGTCAGAGAATCACAGAAAATGCCGCAGAACTTTGAAGAAACCCTTAAAAATGATGGTAAGAAACATAACAACCAAGAAATGCAAGTTGCTGTTTTAAAAAATCAGAATCATGAAGTTTGTTTAGCTATTTTGACTCTCAGTGATGGGAAAGTATTAATAATTTTCAATGGAATAACTGAGGTATTAGACCAATATCAATTATAGGAAAGCATCAAAGTTATAATATGATACCACAAGTGTCAATACTGGAGTAAGAAATAGAGTTGTTGTAATGATCCAACAGAAATTTAAAGGAAAAGACATTCCTATATCTCAGTATATAGGATGTCAACATCATGTGTTAGATTTAGTCTAAAAGCATTCAATGGTTTCAATTCTTGATGGAAAAACAACATCTCCTAATTTAGCATATGATTTTGTGCAAGAAGTCAGAACAACTATACAAATTTAAAAACTGACTTCCAACAAAGTAATGTAAATATAAAAGTTAAAAACATCAAATGACGTGATGATATGCAGTTTTTATAAGAATTGGGAAATGCATACTGATATTATCAAGAATATGGTATAATTCCCTTTACTACCTTTAAAACATTACCCAATATAAGTAATGCAAGATAAAACTCTCGAGCAATATATACCTTGTGAATGGATTTGTGGACCTTGGTTTGATGTTTGGTTCAGTGACCATTTTTATAAATAAGACAGTTATAAAAAATTGGACAACAGTTTAAAGAAACACAAAAAATCGTACACCATTTCAACCCTCGGAATTAGGGTCGGCATTTGGCAATGCCGACCTAACTGCCAACCTGAAAGTGTTTGAGGTCGTCAAAAAGTGCCGACCTCGTTTCTAAGTTTTATGGTTAGACCTTTGTATCAAATAGTTTTTGCCAACCTGATGCCAAGCTCAAAAAGATTGAGGTCAGCAAACTATTGCCGACCTTTTTTTTCCTAATTCCAAGGGTTGCCATTTTTAAGAAACATTGGAATAAAGACAATACAGACAATTTGAGAGGCAAAGAAGTAACATTTGTGCCGAACAAGCAATTAAAATCATGCAAGAAATATAGTGTAAAAGTTAAAAAAATCAAAAAAAAAAAAAAGCTGAAAAAATCAATTTGAAGTTTATTAAGCGATTGTTTTGTGTTACATTATTCAGCTACTATCACTCAGGATGCGACAAATCAACGAACATGCAAATGTTTGTTTAAAAAAAGACAGAAAAACGAACGTCGCGTTTCCTTACTTTTACTTGAGCAAATGTTGACGTTCGCTAAAATTTTTTAAAAACTAACGCATAACTTCAGCAATTTTTTTTTTTCCAAATAATTATGCGATTGATAGTTTTTATTTATTTAAAAAAAATAATAATAAAAAAAAAAAAAGTTACTAAATTTAAAATGCAGTGCCAATGACATTAAAACAAAACCATGCTTATACTTTCTTCAATAGCGTTTCTTTAAAGTTCGCAATTTTAGCATGGTTTTTACATGTTTTAGCATGGTTTTTACATGCGTTTACAAAAGAATGGCAAACTTAAGTTAAAATCAATGCATTTGCAATTACTTTAAACAAAACCATGCTAAAACATTCTTTTTTCAAAAGCGTGCTTTTTTTAAATTTTCTTATCATTAAATTAATGTTGACTTTTTTTTTTTATTAATTTAATTTCATTATTTTATTACATTAAATTAAAGTAATGTTGAATTTTTTTTGACCGTTTTTGAAAAAAGTTTTGAAAAAAAACATGCAGAAATATATATAATTTAACAGAATTTATAGAACTATTATGTTTATTATAGTTTTGATTTTTTAGTGTGCGTTTAACAACACCAATAATATGATATTTTTTTATTAAATACTTAATATTATAAATATAATAATATTATATCAGGTATTTAATAGTAACTTATTAAATTATAAATTTAATAACTTATTAAATGCTTAATATTATATTATCATTTTTAAATGTTTTAAAAAAGAAATGTTAAAACAACTTATTTTATTTTTAGTTCCCTTTTATTTAAATTTCATCAAGTTTATATCTTTTTTTTATAATTTAACAAACTTAATTGAGAAAAATTCACTATTATGTATTAATAGATAACAGTTTAGAGTCAAAAGGTTATTGCATATTAGTTATCATTAATTTGCGCACATTTTGCAAATGCGTGAAAAATTGTTTTAAATTAACAAAAAATTGATAAAATTCAATAAGTATCTTTGATATATCTAATTAATATATATCTTATTAACTAGAATAAAAGTTATTTGAAAATAAAACTCCCATATAATTTAATAAAAAAATTTTTTAAATAAAAAAAAAAATTGAAAGAATTAAAAATAAAACTGGCTTATTCTGGCCAACGACACGGATTCAAAGTGGAGGTGCGCAACCATCTATTTATGAAAAAAGTCCTCTATTTCTCTTGAATTAAAAAAAAATATATATATTAAAAGAAAAAGTGTATGGAAGGGGGTTGTGTGCATATTTGACATACCTCTTAAATTAGAGATTCGTTAATGAATAAAGAAACGAACATCAACGATTGTTAAAAAAAAAAAAATTGTCGCGCCCTGTCAATGTATTGTGTTAAATAATATTATTTACTCAATAGTATAATTTTATTCAATTATACTAAATTGCAAAATTTCGAAAATAGTTTTTCTATTTACTGCTCGGTGTAGTTAAGGCAATTTTAAAATATTATAGCATCTGTATGATATTTTGTTGACTACGATATATTTCCAATTGATCAGGTCTGTGAATTATGAAAAGACGAAAAAAGTTAAAATGACAAAATTTGCTGTACATAAAATATAAATGTTTGTTGGAAAAAAACCCAGACTAAAGATTCTTTTTTTTTTTTTTAATCTTCCTAAAATCATGATCGCTTGTCCAAATTTAAATAAGATTTTAAATAAATACATTTTTTTTAGGTAAAATGAACATCATAGTTTTATAATATGATTTGTTCTGATTGTTGATTGGCAATTTGTTCTTAATTATAAGCTCTTTATTGGACGGAATTCTAGTATTTTTGGTGAAAATTGATAGAAATATTGTATTTTGACAACTATATATAGTTAATATACGTCAGAACCAATTAGAACTAGGATCTATAGTAAATTAAGGCACCTTTTCAAAAGATTTTAACTAAATTCATGTTAACGCTGAAAGGTAAAAGTGATCTAAAGACTGCAAAATGGTGTTCTTTAAATTCACTATTAGGGTTAATAAAAAGGCTTTGAAAATTATATTAAAAAAAAAAGTTTCTTTAAATATTAAAAAAACCTGAAGCAAAAAAATATATATATAACATCTAAAGCTTTTGTTTAGACATAATACACCTATAAAATCATGCTAATTTCAAATACAAGAATTCAAACAATTTGTAAATCGCCTTAACTGTACAGAGTAGAGGTTTTTAAAATAAAATCATTAATGTCAATTTCATGGTTTTTATTCAAAAACTTATTTTGTAGGACCATGACCATATAAGGTAGTAAAAATATTATAACCTATATAATACAAAGAAACAGGGCATCTCAATCGATAACAAAGATGGTTAAGTTACTTGTACAGCCTTGTTCAAAAAAAGTTAAATATTAGAAAAATCTTAATCTTAGTTAAGTACCTATTTTTTAATAAATAAAAGAATAATGAAAACAGAAAATTAAAACAGAATAAAAATATTTAATTAAATCTTCCTTAATAATTTTGCAATCAAAAAATGTTTAAAATATTTTTTTACTTGAACTTATCAAACTTATTCTTATTTTTTCCCCTTGCAACATTTCAGTCATTTGCCAGTCTGTACTTTCACATAAAACTAAATCTTAATAAATAAATGTCAATAAAAGATTCTAATTGGTTTGCCTAAATGATTAATATTGACTGGGATTGATAATCCCAAAAAGTTATTCCTTTATTACATCAATTAAGATACAAGAACTTCAAGTAATTGCAATTTTTTATTTAATTACTTGTTAAAAAAAAGAGCATTTGTTATGATAAAAAAAAAAAACACTTATATTATGAACACAAAAGTAAGCATTCAAAACAAGTGAAAAAATATGTACATGCGTACCAGCTAAGTGGAATTTGCTCCAAAACCTTAGAAGAAAATCTTTTCTAGTAATCTAGTTTTAAGTTTTACAGTTTTTACTAGTGCCACAACAAAAGTACTTATCTGCGTTATAAAACAAGTTAATTTTCAGAAAAGCAACTAGTTGTAAAAAACTGCTTTGAACTTTCTCTATTGGCATTTTCATTAAAAAAATACTATTATGAAAAATCATTTAAACCATACAAATGTAAAACTAAAGATGATAAACTTTTCACCATTATGTATTATATTAAATATTTTTATTTTAATTTTAATAAAAAAAATTGTTTATAATTTATAGCTCAAAAAAAGAAAAAAAATCTACAATATTCTTTAAATAAGTTCTTTTAAAATTACAACACAAAATTAGACTATAAATTATTTTAAAAACAAACTTAAATCAATAGTCTTGCTTTGCAATAAAAATTTGTAATAGACACTGATAACTTTTTAAAATTGTGATGAAAATCCTTAGCAAAAGAGCAATCAATTACTTGCAACTACATTTGTAAATAAAATTTGAATAAATTGGTTCGATACTTTTGTAATCACTTTAATGTTGTGTAAAACTACCTGATAGAACTACAACTAAAGTAGCATAGCAAAAGCATTAAAACTATAACTTTTAATAGCACTATACTTTTTCAGAAACAGGAATTCAAGTTAATCCTCTGCAATGCAGAAATAGATAAAATTATTAACTGTGAAAAAAAACATCAAGATGCGTTGAAAATACAAACCTTGATTTAAATAATTTTGATTATGAATTAATGGATATTGAACATTTACGTTAGAGATATTTTTATCATTAGAGTTCTGTATACCATTTTGCTGAGCAACGATGCTATTATTGTAGAAACCATCTTGTAAATTTCTTTTATCAGATTGAATACTCATTTCTTAATTTTTTCAAATATACTATTTAAATAAGGCTCATTTCAAGGATGGTTTTAACATTGCCCTTTTTAAAACAGGCTAGGAGAATAAACCAGTGAACAAAATCAACAACTGTATTATCGGCAACCGGCCATTTTAAGTATAATCAATGGTTGTTGTAAGAGAACGCTGAATTAAAAAACAAAAAAATTTAAGTGTTCTGACGTCATTTTTGTTACATAATTTTTCCGTCAAATGATATAAGTTTATTTAAAATTAAATGTTATAATTTTTTTATTGTTGTTGTTTTTGTAACAAGGATTTTTCTTGTAATTTAGTATATTGCTAAAAAATATTAATTTTTGAAATTTTTTGAAGGTCAATATTTAAAATGGTTTCAGACATAATTAAAACGAAAGGACAGCCCGTCAAAGAATGTGTAACTAGAGGAGCGGAGCGCGTTGGCGAAACGAGTACGCGAAATACCACAGTCTGCGAATCTCTAAAACTAAGTACCTCATCAAAATATTGTATATTAAATACCAGTGATTCTTAACTTTTTTTTTTTTTTTTTTTTTTTTGAAAAACCAATTACTTTAAGCTAGAGTACCTTCCAGGGCCTTCGAGAGCGCCAATGGCGCCCGGGTCAAAAATGGAGAACGGCGCCCTTATTTCAACCGAGAAACTACAAAATTTAAAGTTTTATGAACAAAGCAAATATTTATTTCTACACAAAAAGATACAACACGTTGTATTTCTGCTTTACTATTAACTCTCTGGATTGAGAAACGGTTCATTATTCAAAACTGACGAATCAAAACATTAGTTTTAAAACTAATAAACAAAAAGTCAATCAACAAAATCTTCAAGTAAGTTAAATTTAAAAAAATGAATTTTTTGAGCTTTTCTGGCCGAAAAAATATTTATGGCATTTTCGTAGCTCACCTTTTTAGCAAAATCTTCAATCGATATAACCAAGTATAAGCAACGTAATCTCAACCCATGGTCAAACGGAGATTGTTTTTTTACAATTTTTTTTTACGATTGGTCAAATCCAGGATTTCCATGGCATATTTAAGAGCTGCCAACATATCTCTCAGCCTCTTGGCAAGTGGTTTAATCAAGTTGGTACAAGAGCTCCATCTTGTCATAGAAGGTCTATGCAGTGAAACTTCTGCTGCTTCAGTGAGAACATTCCATCGGGCAAGACTTGTACGAAAAAATACGAACACAGATACCTTGATATCACATCAGTGATAAGTTTAGCTATTTGACTTCTTTCTTCATCACGAAAGCTTTAACATATAAGAAACTTTCTTTAACAATAATGAATGCTGGATCTTCTTGACTCTACTCATAGGTTTTTGCCTGTTCTTCCCTAATAGTGGCTATGCAACTATTCTTGTTATTTTCTGATGAGGGAACAGCTCTAAAACTCAGTTTAATAGTTCTGAGGCCGGCTGGTGATAAGGTTTTACGAACTTTGTGGTAGGTAGCATGGCTAACTGTTTATGATTTTACGAAATACGGTTCCATCTTATTCAAATTTATAATTTAAAAATATAAATCTAACAGACAAAAGTTAAACAAATTATATAAAGCATAATTTTAAATTAATTACTTTCAAATGTCATAACTTACCTTTTTACTACCAATACAATTAAAGTAAAGATGCGCATTTGAACAATTTTAGAAATATACTTTCTTAAGATAACAAAACCAATATAATTCCAAATTGGTTTTGTAATCTATAAAAAGTACATTTTCATGAGTAGTATAGCAAGAAAGTTTTCTTTAAAACTACAAAGTGTTCTTTACATATTTTTATCTTTAATACCATCTAAATTTCTCAACTTGTAGAAAGACTTTACAATATCCCTATAAGTTAATAAAAAGGTCAGAAGGGCTTCCGCCATATAAGTTACATTGTCTAGTTTTCTTTCCATGTATGTAAATATTTCCAAATATAGACAAGTATCTTAATGATCTATTACTCACCAACAACTGACCTGCTAAGCCTTTACATGACCAAAAACACATTCAGTATGAAACAAATAACTCACCCACGTGGTTGACTAAAATGCATACGTGACCTGAATCATGTTCAATTTAGTTGTTAAAACCAATTGTTTTATCTCTGATGATACACCTGTACTTAGTGAGACCTAGTCGGAAGGTTTTCTCTTATAATGACGCAAGCAAAGTAGTAACAGTAAGTAGCAGGAGTTATCTGACGACTGGATATCCTGGTCTATCCGCTGTCAACAAACCATAGCAAAGAAGCTTTGAGACCTAAATCAAACTTTCACAGTTTTGGTTAAACAACATAAAATTTCAATTACAAATTTCAATTACAGAAGGATCTTGATTTCAACATACGTATGTCAAGTAGAGCTTACGACAAAGAAAATTGGAAGAGTCGTTTGACGTTAAAATGACAGTTGAAGGCGAGGCATTCCATAATGATAATTGCTTTGGATTTTAAAATTTGGCAATTTACACATTGACAATTTTAAGAAATGGTATAAACAGGCAATTTACACATTGACAATTTTAAGAAATGGTATAAACAGGCAAATAGAAAAGAGGAAAGACATCGGTCAGTTGATTAACTTGTTAATTTAAGGCGGTTAATACATAATTCAGGAGAGAGACAATAAATACAACAGCTTTGTTATAACGTTTTTTTTTCCATGAAGTGTCTTTAAAATAAAAAAGAGTAGAAAAAACAAAATTATAAGCATAAAGTTGTAGACAAAATATGTATACGAATCTAAAGATCTTTTTTCATAAAACTGCCAAAAGTGTTTCTTCGATATTGGTAATAAGCGACAAACTCATTTGCTTCTCAAATGTTTTTTTTTTTCTTATCTTATTTTTCACTTCCTCAAATGATATTTTTCAAAGAACAGTTATGTTGTTAAAAAAAATAAATTAGGAACTGTGTTCTTTTAGTGTCATTCGTAATCCAAGCTATATTTTAACATTTTAAATGCTTATAAAAGATCAAAACAAAGGAATTAAACATTAGGAAATGTTAAACATTAGGAATGTTAAAATACCTTTTGGGTATTGTAAAAGTAGCGCCGGTTGTTAGAATGGTTCTTAAACAAAATTCGTTCACCTTGTGGAAGTAACTTTACCTCATTATTTGCTTCATCTAAGTTGATGGGTAAACTTTCAAGAATTTTTGGAAAAATTCGAAGCTCTAAAGCCAATGTAACAATATTTGTAATAATATATTAATAATAACATGATCAAATAACATACATATGCTTTGAATTTTCTTGACTGAAAACGTTAAATACCGTGGTGTGTAACAATTTGTTCTGGATGTCATGATTCATGTATTTGCGCTTAAACTAGCTAAGTCAAAAAAGTTAAGTAATACTTTAACTTTATTTTGCATGTACTTTTATGATGTTATTTATAAATGCTAAGCAATTAAAAATGATTTTTTAGTATTGTTTCAGGTATTCATTGTAATTCAGAAAATAGTAACGTTTTTCTTTATTGTCTATCAAATTTTAAGATAATATTTTAACTTAAAAATTTATTTAAAATATGATATATTATTAAATTGAATCAGGGGAATGATTGAAAAACTAAAGAAATAAAGTATAGTGCTGAAAATTAGTTGATTTTGGGTATCTTATAAAATATAATGCAAAAAATTGATCAAAACCGGGCAGTCTTCATAACTTTATAAAGCAATTAGTAGTTATGTTATGAGCGGAATGTAGGGTGTTTTGTTGTTGAAAGGTTTATGTTGCAGGGGGTAAAAACAAGTTTTTAAAAGATAAATATTATTTGAAAATTTAAAAGATAAAAATTATTTGAAAAAAAAATCAAAATTTGCTTCCTATATCCAATGCTAAATATCGTTGTAGTTGTATGTTCAAAACTTCAATAAAAACAGAAGAGTACTTAAGCTTTTGGTAGTCCACAAATTGATGCTACCCACAGAAATGTTTAAACTAATAAAAACAGTGTTTCATCTTTAAATACTTTTCAGCCTTATGTCGTAACCTATCAAGAAAATAATAAAAGCCAATCTTTCATAAAAAAAATTTAAATAGTAAGAAAGCTGTAGAATTTCTTATTATGTCAAACTATGGTGGAAAAAAAAGTTTTATAATAGGTCAAATTAAAAAAAATCCTTAGTAACCAAAACAAAAAATTATTTTGTCTTATCACAGAGCACCGTGGAGGTGCACGTAATCAGGATGTTTATGCCTCCTTCCTAACAATGTCGCTAATTGACCCGAGGCACAGTGATTGGAACTAATCAAAAAATGGCATAAATTTCATATTTTTGGAAAATCTGATATAAAAATATTTGATTATGTAAGAATGTTGCAAATGGACCATATTTTCATATTCTGGAAATATTTTTTAGGCTAGTTAAAGCTTCTTATATAATATTACGTTTCTTGCCCTAAAAAATGAAAAGGTAGAAACCTGTATAGACTAATAAAATAATGGCTCACTTGAAAGTGATTTTTATTATTTTCTGTAATAATAAAATTTTCTGTTTCTGTAAGAATCTAAACAAGTAGGACTAAAATTCAATCTTTCTTTTAATCCAAAATAGGTTTTAATTCCGCCCAAGTACAATTTTATCGCAATTTCAAAATCTCTATTTGCAACTTTTTCTACCTTTACTACATAAAAAATTTTATGGTAAAATGATTTATTTGTTGTGATACAGCGACTTCTATACAGAGTTGTTAAAAAGGCCAAAAATAGCAAGGCCAAGCCAAAAGGCCACACGACCAAG